CATGTGTCCAGCTACCATGTGAGTATAGTACCAGCAGAGTACAGAATATTCACCGGGACTGGAGTTACAGGTAGCTGTGAGCCACCATGTGGATGGTGGGAGCCAAACTCTGGTCCCAGGCATGAGCAGCATATGCTCTTAACCTCTGAGACACCTTTCCAGCCCCAGTGGGAAACTTTTCTTGTTTCTCTGCATGTATCATTTTTATTCTGGGGTGGATTTAAACTAGGACTTTAAATAATACAATAGGCACTTCTGGGAAATACATTTCCTGTTCTTCCTCAGGATTTCTGCAGTTCTTCATTGCTACTGCTTGCATCTTTAGTTACTTTCCAAGCCCTGCACTCTCTGTAATGAGTGTCCACTGAAGTCTCCACTCAGTAAATTTTAGCAGTCACTTAAGGTTGGTGAGGAATGTCTTTACCTGCCTGGATCCAAAAAGTCTTTCTGAGAGTCATTCTGGGAGGTCTCTGCAAACACCAAGGGCAGCAGAGTGTTGATCTCTGGGTGAGGCAGAAAATCCAGTTCAACACCACTCAATAGCTGGTTTTGGTTCAAACTCCCAATGTTGGACAGTGGGCAGTTTATCATAGGCATAGTTAAGTATGGTACAATTCGAGAAAAGAAAGTTTCCTGGTCTAACACAATCCCCAGTGCACAAGTATGCATAATTACATCAGAACTCAAAGTTCACGTCACTTCTTCCATGAGATCGATTCCAGAGATAAGCTACATTATTAACTTAAGGGCCGGGTGGAGGATCTGGTGAGGTATTGGTCATAGATCATACAGATAGCGGTCACCTCTGGTCCTGGTGTTGGAGGTTGGTGTGGCCTGGATCTACAGAGAGCACATTATCTCCTTTTGGATGGAAAACAGGTTATACATCTGTCTCATTGAAGATACAATCCTGCGTGTTTCCCATTCCTGGTTTCCTTAGTGCTTATCTTTCAGCACAGGGACCTCTGTGCTCCCAGCTGGTCTTTGACTGATGCAAGGACATGCCTTCATCCATCTGCTGAGCCGCCCAGAAATCTGGCTTAGCACCTGCCTCCTATTATTCAAGTGTCTAGTGGTGGGCTAGAGGTGAATGCTTGGAGCCCTTGGGAGTAGTCTGAAGCACACGCACCACCCTGAACCGGAACACAGTTCTACACATAAAGGCGACTTTCTAGGTCCTTGGAGATGTCTGAAGACTTTTCAGATTAGCTATTTCTAAATAATGTCTTCTTACTCGCCAGCATTTTCTTTATGGATTTTTGTTTCACTCATTGTCTGTGCAAATATTATTGTAATTATGGACAGCCACAATATTAAATAATTGACACTGATTTTTTTAATACCTCCATAAAAATTTCTGTTGGCACTAGAGGATCTCTGAATTGGGTCAGTACAGATAATGATTTTCTTTTTTAGAGCCTGTTTGAGGCTAGTTTTAAGATTTTACTTTTTTTTAAATCATGTGTTCTTTGCGAGAGCAGTACATACTCTTAACTGCTGAGCCATCTTTCCAGCTCCAGAACAAACAATTCTTTTGAGAGATTTCCAGGGGCCATACTCTCAGGTCAGGTAGCAACAGTGTCAGAGAATAGGATTATGAAGAGCCACCGCTGGGGCCTAACCCCGAGGTGTCTGAGGGAGCTGCTCCTTTCATCACCGCTTCTATGGATAGAAAGCCTTGGGAAGGTTCCACTTTGGCATTCTGAGACCTCCCCCTCCTCCCTTGCCTTCTATAAATATTGTCTTTGTTGAGGTCCCCAGTTGTTTGACCTGCCCATTTCCCATTTTGGATTTTGCAGTTGCGTTTCTGACGAAGTTCAATGTGCCTCTTGGGTGCTGTGTAGCCTTTGCGCAGGGGCTCTGTGCTTGAATGTCGAGACTGTCTCAGTCCATCCATGTGTACGCATGTGCACACACACCTTGCAACCGGGGCCGCCAGCTCCAGTGGGAGCCCTTGGGCAGGGCCGTCACACTCAGAGTGGGTACCTGAGTATGTGTGAGCATGTTTATTCTGGGTCATACAGCAATTGCATGTTTAGACCCTAGCAAACGGTTTTTCAGGGTGCTCATCACAGAGCCCCACTGGCTGTGTGAGTTTCTACGCACGCTTACCAGCATTTGGGCAGCATCGCGCCATTATGGCTTTAATTTGCATCTCCCTAATATCCAATGATGTTTAATATATTTCTATGGGTTAAATTTAGCATCTGTGTAACTATCTTTGGAAAAATGTGTCATTTCCTAATTATATCGTTTATTTTGTGCGTGTTTGTACAACTGAACAAGCGTTCATGTGGGGGAGCGTGGGCATGCATGTATCATGGCACGTGCATGCACATCAGAAAATGACCTTGGAGTTAGTGCTCACCTTCCACCTTGCTTGGAGAAGGGTCCCCTAAACCCTGCTGGGGCTGCCTCTCTGTATACCAGGATAGCATCCAGTTCACAAAACCCTTTGCCCAGTCTCAGGCCCTACCTTTTCTCCTTTGCTTCCCCAAAAGCGTATAGTTTTGTAAACTATGTTAAAATGCACAACCCACTTTGAATTAATTTCTGTAAAGCTCTGAGATTTAGGCCAGTGCTCAGGGTCTCCATGGCTGCTGGAAAAGGCTCTCATCCCTTGTCCTCGGCATTGCTGTGTGGAAGTGACCATCTCAACTAGCCTGCCTGCCTAGCAGATTTATTTGGAAGTTTTTTTTTTTTTTAATCAATTCTAGTCATGGCTTTCCTTGGGATTTTGAGATTTTCTGTCTTAGAATCAAAATCATTCACTGTGATTACAGAGTTAGAAACTTAGGGCTAAATGGTAATGTTTAGCCCTTAGTTCTCAAACAGTTTTTAAAAGGCGAAAAGGCAAAAGAAAAAGTCAGAAAAGAATGGAGCAGAGAGGAAAAGAGGAAAAAGGAAGGAGAGGGCCTGGGCTGGGTCCTATTTCATCTCCAGAAAATTTTAATGAATGCACATAATTATACAAATATGGGTATAACGTGATTCTGATGAACACAGGCACCATGTAATGATCAACTAAGCATAACCAGAACACCCAGCCCTCAGATACTCACCTGGCTCTGTTTTCTGTTTGTGATATAGGACCCTCAGAGTTGGCCCAAGACCAAGTTTTCAGCACAAAATAGGTTTATTTTCCCCAGAGGGACAAAGGGTGGGGAATAAAAGACAAAGGCAGGAGATAGAGGACTATGAGAAGGGGAAGGGAACAAGGGAGAGAGGGAAGAGGTATTTGTCCTAAAGAGACAAAAGAACCACTTCTGGATAGAGAGGAGACAGACTTGGCCCCTAGGAAAATAGCAGTTTATAAAGGCAAAAGGGGGAGCCCCATGTTAGAATGAGATGTTTAATTTTAATTGGGCATCTTAATTAGGTGAGCCAAAGGGGACTTTTGATTGCTGGACTTCAATACTTTGATAGCTGGACCTTGGTAGTAAGCCTCAGGAGGAGGAAGTGGCCATATAACAGAATAGACCTTGGTGTCCAACTTATCTAATGGTTTTTAGCAAGGCAGAGGGAACAGGAGAAAAGGGCAAGGCCCGCCAGAGCCATCTTCACCATGCTCCCCATGCCATGCTGAGACTGGCTGGAGTCCCTTCAGTGACTGGAGACAGCAGGTGCCCTCACAGACTCCTTGTGAGGGATCACAGCTCTCAGGTCAGGTGTCCTCAGCATAGCTCCCTCCAGGTGTCCAGGGGCAGCTGAAGAGCCAGGAGTCTTCCTCCACCCCCCAGGGTGCTGTGCAGCTGCTGAGTAGCTTCACGCAGCACCAGGAGGCTGGGGGTGCCTGTGGCCTCCCTACCCAGCCCCACAAGGTACACCTGCCTTCCAGGCGCTGGCTATAGAAAAAGCTCCGCAGCCATAAACAGATTAGGAAAAGCTGCAGCCTGGGCCTCCCAGCTGCCTCCCAGCAGGGCTTTGGAGATTAGTGGGGATGTCTTTGTTGAGGGGAGGGGAGGCAGGTTGAAATGTCAGCTTTGGTTTATAGGATCCTTCTAGAAGGAAAGAGAGCAGCTTTCCTGGCATGGGCGTACCATCCAGCTTCTCTGTGTGTCTTTCCTGCTCTGAAATTTAGGCTCTTGTTCCCAACTCTGCAGGTGAGTGTTGGCAGAAGGGCCATGCTGGTTCGGCAGCCAGCTCAGTGGTGGCAGGTCATGACTAAAGGCACACTCATGTGTCTCAGGCTAAAATGGTTGTGGGTCTGGCTTTCCAGACGGAGACGAAGGGTAGGCATTGAACACTCTCACGTATAGGGAGCTTCCCGTTACTTGCTACGTGTCACTTGTCCTTCGTTTCTTCAGCCTTTCATCTGATAGCCAATTGGTCCATTTATTTGCTTCCTCACTAAGAAGCCACTGACCTGTCTGTCCAGGTATAGTGAACGCTTCTGCTTCTGCCTCAGAGGTGCCAGCAAGGAAAGCAGTGTGTTCCCGCACTGCCAGGTAGCTGGAGCGATGGAGCATTCCCGGGCATTGCGCGCCCTGCCACATGCTGTTATACCCAGTTCGCGAGCCCCCAAAAGATCTACAGGAGTCGACTCCGTTGCAAAACACATGAGGGTCTTTTTATTGTAAATTACAAGCTGCAGCTTGGGCCCACACAGCCCCACCGCCGAAGCGGTGAGAGCTGAGCCCCCGTGCCCAGGTTAGTTGGGTGATTTATAGATTCTGGTCCATCCCAGCATGCCCAAGGCAGGGGCAATTCCTGCCTGGCAAGCATCTATTGGTCAAAATGCTACATTTTTGAATCGATTGGCTATAGGAAGGTTCCCAGGCCATTAATGACCAGGTGTTCCTCTTTAGGGGGATGGGCTAGTTTCCTAGCAACTGTATCTCTAGTGGGAAAGAATGCAGCAAGGTAGCTCTCCCCTCAGAGCATTACTAACTACTTTAGTAATGCCTCAGGGCATTACTAACTACTTTACCGCACCTACTCACCTACTCTAGGTTTTAACGATAGCTGTCACTTTGGTCTCTCAATGTGTGTCTCCACAGGCATGAGTGTGGCCTCTGTGACACTTGCCAGTGCCCTGCAGGTCAGGGGTGAAGCTCTGTCTGAGGAGGAAATCTGGTCCCTCCTGTCACTGGCTGCTGAACGGCTCCTGGAAGACCTACGTAATGGTAAGAGAATATTTGGGGCAACTGAGTCACAGGAAATTGAAAGCAAAGCTTCCTAAACAAACTTCCTTAGCTTCTTGATCTGTGATCAACCCTAAGCTTTTAGAACAGGAGAGCAAATGGTACCCACCGCGCAGCTGCAACAAGTGTTGGCCCGCCTCCAAGGCCTGCGCCATGCAACCAAGGTGAAAGGCCGCGCTGACCAGAGGCAGCAACACAGGCCTCTTCCAAATGCCTGGGACATCCTTCTGTTAGAGTCTGTAGTAGTGTGTCCCATCGGAAGGCGGAACCTCCCCTGTGTTCTAAATGCAGGAGGGTAACATGAGCAAACACCAAACTGTGCTATGGATACAATGGAAGTATAAGGAAATGTAAGGAAATTCTATACAGATCTCTGGAGCTGTGAGGGACAAAGCCCTCCCTGGGTTGGGTTTTGTCCTGATGGAGGAGCTGTGCCTGTAGCTCATGAGGATGAAGGTCCCTGGCCAGAGGCGGACTTCAGTCATGGTTCAAATGGGGCAGAGGTAATTGTCGGAGGATGACTCACAGAGGGCCTGGACATTAGGGGCACGCTAATTTGGAATCTGGCACGCTTAGGCTGGTGGTGTGTGAACAGGAAGACTGGAGCCTGCAGGTGGGCAGGTCCATGAGAAAATAGTCATAGGGTGAGGCCAGGCCTTAAGGTCTCCAAGGGCTTTCATGTCCTGTGGCTGAGTCCAGGAAGAGGTGCCCCTGCCTGGTTGTTTCATATTCATACCAACGGCTCCTAGACATGGAAGGAGAGGCCCTGCTTCCTGAGAAGTCTCTGCTGAGCCTCTTCTGAGAAGAATGTTCATAGTGCTGACAGCAGAGATGCTTAGATGACTAGGGATGGAAAGGCGACCTGAGCTGTAAGGTATTCAGTTGGCAGGTGAGGTATTGACTGGGGAGCCCCAGACTCAGCAGCCGCAGAGCATGGATGGGGTGTGTGAAAGCACATAGGCTCCACCGGGGGCTGGGTCCCAGCATCAGCCAGTGGAGAGAGGCTGTGTTCCTACGCCTTAGCTTCTCTTCATCGTGTCTCCTGCTCTGGGGGGAGGGGTGGCGAGGGGAAGAATCTGATGAACTTCTGTACAGCCGTGCCATGATGAGCTACCTCAGGCCCAGAACTCTGCAGCAGATTTCAGCTGGTCTTGATCGCTTTTGACCTTTTCCTTTAAAATTTTTAGTTCCTTGATAGATTCAGATATAAGCACTAAATTCTTGTCCACAGTTACAGCTACCTTTTGTAACACACATTTCTATGTGCTGGTTGGAATTTATTTATATGATTGGAATTTATTTATATAGACTAAGGTCTATATAGGCCCTGGTCAGAATCAGTTCTAGAAACAAGTGCTACCCGGGACCCTGGCCCTGTTCCTATACCTCATCTCTGCCTCATTTTCAGATTCCTCAGACTATGTGGTTTGCCCTTGGTCACTCCTGCTTTCTGCAGCTGGAAGTCTTTCTTTCCAAGACCATGTTTCCCACATAGAGGCTGCCCCATTCAAGTCTCCTGAGCTGCTACAGGGACCAGATGAGGATGAGCAGCCCGATGCCTCACAGGTAGGATGTGTGTCCCGCCTCCAGTGGGGGAGACACCCCAAACTGCTCACTCAGCTCCAATTTGGAGGGAGAAAGCATCTTGTTTCCAGACTTTCTTGCTGGCAACTTATTAGCTCTTGGACAAGGCAGTTCAACATCACTGAGCCCAAGTTTGTCGGTCAGTGAAGTGAGACAAATCCAACGTTGTGGATCCAGCTTTATCAGCACTAAAAATGGTGTTGGGGGACTGAGGAGATGGCAAATGCAGGGGGCATGGCAAAGGACTAGTTGTCTAAAAGGACAAGCTCTAGCCAGGGGTAGGCAAGAGGGAGGGACTGAGAGAGCAAATCCTCTCTTCTCTTTCCCCTCACGGATGAATTCAAAATGTGCAGTCTCTGCACACTGACTAGAAATCTCTTCCAGGGTCTAGGGAGCCATGCCTGCTGGCCATCCTTGGCCTCTGTGGCAGCATGGTGACTTTGTGTGGCACATCTGTCCTTGCTTTCTTGCCCTTTCTCCTCATTCTCTTTGCCCGGGGCTTATAGATTCTAAAGTCCTTGCCTCAGACCTTTTTTTTTTTTTTAGAGCACCTTAGCTGAGATAGATACTAAGAGTTTCTGGGGACTTTCCTGGGTCCTCCAGCACATGCTGAGAAGGCCCCCTGTGGCAGTTTGGCTTCCATAGAGTGCCTTGAGGGAGGTCTGGCTGCCTTATCGTTCAGAGTTAGAGAAAACCTAGATCCCCTTCTTGCTTCCTCCATGCAGAAGTGTCAGGCCTTGGGGGAATTCTAAGGCCAGAAGAGGCTGAGTCCAGAACTGGTAGGAGTGCTGCTAAGAGGCTAACTAGGAAAAAAAACCAGACAGTGCATCTGAGTCTGAGAGAGCCGGTGTAGGGGTGAGACTAGTTCTAAACCATCTTGAAAGTGTATTGGCTGCTTACCTCTCTATTTTTGCTAACCTCTGAAGTACCTGCAGGAGGGGCTGAAGGCAGTACCCTCTGCTCCCTTAAGAAGAATCAGGCAGTGTCACCTAGCCTCACGATGTTCTACATCCAAAGAGTTTTGGTGACCATGGCTCGCTTCCATTCACCACATCAATTCTCTCTTCATCCAACTTGACATAAGGTTGTGAGAAAGATCTGAGAAGTCAGGAGAATAGAGGTTTCAGCAGCAGCTGTGCTTATGACACTTTCCAAACCCTGATTTTGTTCTGAGACTGACATCTTACTCTAACCAACACCTCAGCATCATGCCCATGTCTAGAATAGACACAGGTGGCAGATGTGGGCGTGTCTCTAGCTGGGAGGCCCTTGAGCTGCCTTACCTCTCTCACCCTCCCGTCAGGCAGATGGCATTCTTGTTCACAGAGTTGCTGTCAAACCCTTCTCCTTAGCATTCTGGTATGTCATGCTGGAGGCTGTGTTTAGGATTTGGGATAGAGCCTACTGGGTTCAGCTTTGCACCCAGGATGCAGCTTAGGAACTTTCCCATGCTGGGTATGGAGTTGGGGCTGGGCTTTAGGGGTGCAATATCAGATACAGATAATAGTTTAGTGGCCAGGTGACGCTTGGTTCACTCCTCATTCCTGTGATGTGGGGCCTCAACCCAGTTGTGTGAGACACTGCACCCCTGTCTGCTCCAGTAACCACAGCTTTAACACACAATTTGCTGCTTCAAGGCTTCTCTTCCAGCGTTCCAAAAGTCTTTTCAAGACAATGGGCTTTGCCTCCTACAATGAAAGCCTCCAGCATCCACCATAGGACAGCCATTCATCTGGAAGCTACAGCTATGATGCTCAGGGCATGAGCTCCAGAGCTGGGTTCAATCTCACATTTGGGTCTTATTAAAGCAAACCCTTTGCTTTTCTTTGCTTTAGTTTCCTCTTACCTAAAACAGGGTGAGTTAAACACCTGCCTCAGAGGGTTGTTGTGAAGACTAAATACATTCGAATAAGCAAAGGCTTATAGGCCTATAATGGGGCTTGGCCTGATGATGGCCACTCCCCTGTACTTTTGTATTCCATCCTTATGAGGGTTTGGGCAGAACGCTCCCTAAAAACAAGGCACTTCAGAGAAGTCGGACCCTACTCTTCCTGTTATGCTGTGTCCCTTTCTGACAAGATAGAGGCCATTGTAGTAAGACTGACCCATGTCATGTAGTGGGCAGCTGGCTTTGGTTACAAGAAACAGAAAGTGTAACATGCAACAGCCAGCTCCACAGGTAGTCTTCAGTCACTCAGGAAGGGAATTTAGGTGGGAGTCGCAGCTCAGTGACACCAGCAAGGACTCGGGTTGTATAGTTCCATCCTTGTGCTTCTTTCCACACGCTTATAAGATGGCTGTTGTGGTTCCACACGTCATGTGGTATTCCAGGTAGAAACAACAGGGCAAGGGTGGGACCGGACACGTTTCTTTTCTTTTTTCTATAAAGCCAAAGTTTCATTTTGTTTTGTTTTTGTTTTCTTCCAAAAGCACCCTAACAGATGTTTTCTCTTATTTTTCACCAAACTGGGAGTCACAGTTACTGCTGGAAAATGGAAAATGCATTTCTAGTCTGCAGCGTGGGAGGCAGTAAAGGTCAAGGGGTGCAGATGGTGCTTGGCTAGGCAGATTCCCAGCCCTTGCTTGTGAAGCTGTTTGGTGCTTTGGAGTCGCATGCCTGACTTCTAACCATGTGTTCTTCTCTTGGGCAGATGCACGTCTATTCCTTAGGGATGACTCTCTACTGGTCAGCAGGATTTCGTGTTCCACCAAACCAGGTCTGTAAACAAGAGTGGCTCACATCTCACCAGCTCATCCTTCTGGATTAGCTGCGAAGCTCTCCCCTGGCTGGGCCACATGCATTGAGTATGGCTGTCACTGCCCTTCTGTCCAAAGCCTTACCCAGGAATTGCCAGCCAGTTGTACAACTTGTTCCCGTAAACAACCTCAGCATCTTCTCTGACACTTCAAGCAGACCAAGTTGGGACTGGGAGTAAATGTACAATTTACATGTTCACTCTGCCTAGAGGAGGTAGCAAGCCAGAGGATTTCATACATAACAATGACAGTCAGTTATGTATTCTCTCAAATGCTTTTAAAATCAGCCCTTTCTGAAGGGAACTGCTGCCCTGAGGAAAGGGTTCTGTGCTCGGTAATTGAGGTAAAATACACCCTGCAATGTCTCCTCTGGAAGAGGTTTCAGACTAGCTTGTTATTGACTATGGCAAACCTCAAGACATAGAAGCTTTATGGGGTAAAGCATGTCGCACAATTCAGTCTATGAGCGCATGTACTGTGTGTATGCATCCATTCACGTCTGTGCATGTATGTGTATGTGTGCCCATATCTACAGGAATGTGTGAATGCACATTTTTATTTGACATCATAAGAATCTTTTAAAAACATCATTGACCCTGTCCACGGGGTCCTCCCTTCCTTTTCACCAGCCCACTCCTTTCTTTCTTCCTCCCTCACTTACCTCCTCCTACCTCTAAGGCAGAAAACCATTTACAACTCACCCTGCCCAACGCTGCCCCCTACTCGCTACCTGCTGCCCTCATGATTATATTTCAGCATCTCATCAGCGAACACAGATTCCAGAATTTTGTTCCTGCTCCTGTCTGCTGGTTCTCTGACATCCCCAGGGCTTGTGTTTCGGATGTATGATTTGTAATCCCATGCTTGGCTTAATCCTCTGTCAGCTCCATTTTGGACCCAGTACTTTGGGGCCCCACACTTCCATTCTAGCATGGGCCCTAGTGTAGCCCTTTCAGACAGCAGACACACAGACACCAGCTCACTTCTACCAGCTCATTCGCACCAGCTCGCCTATACCCCTCTGCTTTTGCACATATGCCACCTGAAAAGTCTTTCTACCTTGTCCCTAAACCCCTGCTGATATCTGAGGTCTGCCTGGGTCAGGCTTTTGCCTGAATACTCGTGGGGTCCTGTGTTTCCTGAGGTCAAGTCTTTGTCATCTTTAGCTGTTCCTGCTCTTTATAACATTTGTGTGGAACTGCGATAACATTTGTGTGAGACTGTGATCTTTAAGGTAATGAGGATGAAGAATAACTGGGCTGGACACAGTGGCCTCCAGTGAGCTCTGTAAATACTCGACACAGTGGCCTGCTTGCTGTGAAGCCAGACACCATACAAGGCTTCCCGAGAGCGTGAAGAGAGTACTTGTACAAGACTACTTTTTTTTCATGCTGACATGTATTTTCTTTTTAAATTTTTTATATTAATTACAATTTATTCACTTTGTATCCCAGCTGTAGTCCCTACCCTTTTCCCCTCCCAATGTCACCCTCCCTCTCTAATCTCCTCCCATGCCACTTTCCAAGTCCAATGATAGGGGAGGTCCTCCTCCCCTTTCATCTGACCCTAGCCTGTCAGGTCTCATCAGGACTGGCTGCACTGTCCTCCTCTGTGGCACAAGTATTCTTTTTCTTTGGCTTGAAATATGTATGCAGCATAGAGTTTTAGCAATGGTGACCGAGCCCTTTCCTCCTGCTGATGACTCTGCATGAAGGCCACTTGAACTTGAAGATCTGATTCTCTTGGACTCATGTTCCAGATGGAAGTTGTCATGAGATAACTGCTTCCCCCAACAACTGTAGGAAATACCAGGCTACAAGGTCAATGGTGTGTGTGTGTGAGAGAGAGAGAGAGAGAGCATGTGAGTGCAAGTGTGGCTCACCACTGGTGTGGTCAAGCATTTGGCTCAGGTCAAGGTCCACTGCCTTCAGCACAGGCTTTCCAGCTTAGAGCAGAAGAGCTACAATTAGAGAGCAGTCCTGTGCACAGTGGCTATAGAAACCATTGCTTGGCCTTAATGGTAGAACAGATGTCTGCTCCAGAAGAAGCAAACGTGTCCTGGTTGTGATAAATGTGTATTCTGGAGCAGCATGTGGGCCTTGGCTCCCCGCATGCAGCAGCCATTTCTCCTGGCCACATTTCTCACCACTGTATGCTCTGTAGCCCCTGCAGCTTCTGGAACCCCTACACTCCCTCCTGCTGGCCATGTGTGAAGACCAACCTCAGAGACGGAGGCCACTGCAGGCAGTTCTGGAAGCCTGCCGGATTCATCAGGAAGAAGTGGCCGTGTTCCCAGCCCCTGCCAGTCTTCATGTCAGTCGGCTGGTGGGCTTGGTGCTGGGCACCATCTCTGAGGTCAGTCATAGCATCCATCATTCCCATTGGGTAGCCACTAGCTATTCGTAGCGATTGGAATTTAATTCAGCCAAATACTGGGGCTCAATGATAGAGCATGTGTCTAGCAGATGTCTGTAAGGAGTTAGTTAGCCTGAAAGATGGCTTGCACGTGTTGGTATAAATGCACCCTTCTCACCTGCTGCTGATTTGCCATTCCCTCAATCCTCAGGTGGAGAGGAGGGTTGTGGAGGACAGCGTGCAGGAGCAGCAGAGCAGAAGCTGCTTTCTCAGGAGCAGGCTGCAGCGGGCTGGCAGTGAGAGCCCCGGAGCTCCGGCCTCTGACACTATGCAGCCTCGGAGAGGTGAGTGAAGGCCCTGAGTGTTCCTGTTTGGACAGAGGGTACTTAAGGTGACCCTTCCATTGTCTCCCACCCTAAGTATCTGGACACCCCTGCTACATACTCAGAGAGCTCCTGTGTAAGTGCCACTCTCTCCGGAAGCACTACGGGCCTAGGGTCACAGTGCCTAGTAAAGTTTTAACAGCTGACTAGAATTAATTACATTAAATATTAGCTCTTTAAAATCGAAGTCTAATTGTTCAAATTGATGAGAGCAAGTTAGAAAAACAATGAAAAGGTTTTATTTTATTTTATGTATGTGTGTTTTGTCTGCATGTATGTCTGTGCACCACGTGAGTGTCTGATGCCTGTGGAGGCCGGAAGGGGGCATAAGATCCTCTGTAGCTGGAGTTACAGATGCTTATGTGTGATGGAAATTGATCCTGGGGCCTCCAGAAGAACAGCCAGTGCTCTTAATCACTGAACCATCTTTCTAGCCCTTCTACGTAGAATGACACGCAAATAACTCACAAAAGACTTTTGTTGTTTTGTTGTTATTTTAGGTATGCTTTTACAATAAGCTTCAAATATGCTTTTACCTGCTTTTCAACTATCTGAACCTGAGTCATGTTTTCATTATTTTTCTTGTTGCTGTGAGGTAACAACAGCGCATGAAGGAGGCAGGGTTTGGTTGTCTTCACAGTTTTAGGACACAGTCCATGACGTAGGAAGCCATGCAGCAGGAGCTTGTGGCAGTGGAGCACATTGCATCTTCGGTGAGGAAGCAGAGAAAGATGGATGCTCTTGCTTTTTTTTTTTTCATTCTGTCTGGGATGGCAAGACTCATCATTACAGTGGATCTCAGTTAAACCAATCTAAGAAGTTTCTTAAGATGTGTCCAGAGCTTTGAGTCCAGATCTTGTCAAGCTGACCAGTTTTAACCATCACGCCCTATTTATTTGCTTATTTATTTTGAAACAATTTTATAGTCTAGCCACAAACTCTTGGTCCTCCTGTCTCAACCTCTGAGAAGTGAGATTATAGATGTCTGCCACCAAACCTAATTTTACTTATTTTTATTGAAAGTTACTGTCATTATTCCTAAATCCAGGAACCCCTTTGCTTTTTGTCATTAGGATTACACCCACCTCTAACACCCTCCTCACCTCCCTACTCTGTGACTGCCATTTCCACTTGCAGTCTGAGAATACAGACTCAGAGACATTCATTTTCACCAAGGGCACACAGCTGACCAGTTGTGGCGGTATCCACACACTCTGGGCTGCTTATCCTGTACAGCCAAGCTGTTTGCACCTCCCCTACCCACCATGCTCTTTGGTAGTTTCCAACAGAAGCCCAGAGACGCAGAGCTCCTTGGAGCGGTGCTGGAGTGCCACAGCGCACAGTCGCAGCAGCTTCGTTACCAGGTCAGTCTCCTGCTACCGAGCCCTGCTTCTTTGCTGATTAGTGATGTTCTTCAGAAAATGACACGAGCAGGAAGCCAAGGTATGTGGGCCCTGCTGGCCGCAGTATTGTCAGGAACCCCACATCTTCTGGGAATACCAGTAAGGCTCAGAGATGGAACAGCATGAGCCTTGGTGCTTTAGTGGTGATTCCCAGGCACATCCTGTTTGCTGCATAGCAAACAACCATGAAGCACAGTGGCTACAGGCCACAGTGACTCAGAGCTCATGACTGTGCCTTGGTGATTTCAGCAGGGGTCAGCCAGGTCTCCTGGCCTCTCTGAGGCCAGCTGTAGACTGGAAGGGCTAGCTTCACTCCTGGGGAGTGGGTTTGTGGCCCCAGCATCTCCATGAGAGCATGATATACTGTGCACACTGTGATGGCTTCAGCCTCTCTAGCTGACAAGAGTGCACCAGCTCCATTGTCTCACAGGACTCCTGTTGGTCTTCTGAGGACCAAGGGGTCAATCAGTAGGTGGTACATGACTGTTTATTGTCAAAACAGTTGGGATGTCTAAAGTTTCAAAAACAAATTCAGAGCCGTGATCTCTTTAGGGATGGTTGGGATCTTGGGTTCATGGTGAGCACAGAGGCAGAATTCTGGGGTAGAGGAGGAGAAGATGTGGTTGTATCCCCACTCTGTGCCTGTGTAGCCTTCACTTCCGAGGATCTCAGCTTCACTGATGGAAGAGGCTGTGTAACCTCTCAAGATGTGGCAGCTGAGTCTCTCGCAGGATGATGCATCAAGTGCTTCATTCTGCCTCACTCCTGTCCAGTGCTTTCACAGGGGCAGGTCCCTGTGATTGTGAGGAGGGTCCTCGGTGTGGCTCTGTGCCTATGCTCTTGGCAGAAGCAGAAAGCTCGCAGCCAGCGACATCTTCTCCAAGGGATTTCCTGCAAAGAAAGGGAAAGGTGAGCAAAGAGGTCTGGAACTGGAGGACACTGTCAAGAATGTGCTTTAGCTAGGATCTGAAACACAGAGGGCAAAGACAGGCAGGGGCTTCAGGACTCAGAGACCTTGAACTGGGATTCACTGATCTGTACCGGCAGAAACCTGAACCTGGCCACTCAAAGCTAGGTATCATTCAGTTCTTCCCAGCTCCGACTGGCCATACCATAGATGCTGCTTAGGGAGTGAGGCTGGTTTAGGCACACTTCTGAAGTTTGAGGCCACGTGTGTGGAGAGCAACAGCACAGTGTGGCATATAAGAGAGCTGTCAAGGTAGAATGCACTTGTCAGAGGGCCCCTTGGGCTTACAAAAGGCAGGGACATGCCTGGGATTGCAAGATGGCTAGTAAAAGGTGAATCTTTTTTCTTGTTGGCTGGTGGCGGTGTGTGTGATAGGATTGGGAAAACATAGGGGAACTGAGGCCAGAGAGCAGCTACACCAACTTGCCCAGCCTTGAAGGTCAAGCTAATGGGACATACAGATACAGGGTGGCCCCTGAAGTCTATTTATACTCCTGTGGAAGAACTCTGCTGATGAGTCAGTTAGCTTACTGAGACCAGTTTGCACGCCACCTTGACTTTCTGAGGCAGGGTCTCTCCCTGAACCTGGAACTCTCCGCATTCAGTTAGACTGCCTGACCAGTGATGCTGAGGGAGCCTCCCGCTCCCATCTACCTGATGCTAGTGTTAGAGATGCGCGACATCATGCCTGGCTTTTACACGAGTTCTGGAGTACTGATCTCAGGTCCTCATGTAGTACTTGACACTTTACCCACTGAAAACCTCCTCAGCTCTTGGTTTTCCTTAAGGTCTTTTTTTGAGATAGGATCTTACTGTGGAAACTTCTGATGCTCCTCCCTCTACATCCTGAGTACTGATATTAGAGATGTGTGCCTCTATGCCCAGCTTGTTTTTGGTACACGTGACGATTACATACAGCCGTTTGAATGCTACCCTCTAATGATGCATCCAGTGAGAGTCAGCATGCTGTCAATCTTCTACACCTCACTGTCAGGCCTCCCTCTGTTGAGGTGGACAGAGTGGAGGGGTCTCTTGCCTCTATCATATCTGGAACCTGTTTCTTGGGGGGGGGCACCCTGGGAGGCAGAGGGCTGTAGAAGGCAGAGGAGCATGAGCTCCAAGCCTGGAGCCTCCTGCACTTCTTTTTTCACCTTTGGTATCCTGAATGTTTTTCTCAGTGCCCCAGACCAGAGTTCATCCTGTTGGCTGGAGAGGCCCCGGTGACCCTACATTTGCCTGGATCCATTGTGGTAATTACTAGTTAGACTGGGTGGGATGGGAAGGAATCCTCAAGACAAACAAACTCAATGCTGACTGTACTTTAAATAGTGTCTTCCAAGGACATCTGGAATCTCCCTGAGCTAGGCCCTTCTCCCCTGAGTCCCCATGTCCCTCTTCCTTTCCTCTTCCCATCCCTGCTCATGCTGCCTTTTCAAAGTTGTATAAAGAATAGTGTTCTCCTTTCTAGTCACTCCATCTTCTATCTCTTCCATCCCTCCAGACTCTTGCCAGGGCATGGCCACCCCACTCCTGCCTCTCATTTTCCTTTAAGAGAGGAGCTCCTTGTGGCCTTCTGTCCTTCTCTCACCTACTCCCAATCCAGCCTTCATCTGCTCATTCAGCACCGATGCTGTGGAGTATCTCCACAAGCTGGTACTCTGCCAGGCCCCACTGCATGCTGTGGCAAAAAAAGTCCTTTCCCTGTGAAGCCTACAGTCTGACAAGAGGAGGAAAAGAGAGACAAATTCATAATAAAAAAAGAACGCCAGGTCATGATTTGTGCTTTAAAAAATTTTTGAGAACACGTATAAGGGTAGAAGAGGTTAGAAGACGATGGAAGGGGATGAGGGAAAAATGCTCTTTTACACAGGAAGTGACAAGAGGGGAAGGAGAGAGGCATGAGGGGTTTCAGGAGAAGGGTCTGACAGACTGAGAACACCATATGGGTGTGCTACCCAGCTTAACGGAGTACACATCCTCATGGCTCATGCCCAGCCTGGGGCCATGAGGTTCTCAGCTAATGTTGAGCATTTGGGATGATGATCTTCCCATTTCTCATACTCCTAGAGCCAAGATGCCTATCTGGCCAACCCTGTACTTCAATTCTGCCTTTTGGCTCATGGGTCTTCTGGAGACAGGGCTGTGGGAAGGTTGGGATGGTGTCTTTCTTTTCCCAGGTTTCTATGGCACCCTCCTGCCTGTCTTCTCTGTAGCTCAGGGCAACGCAGATGAACATGAGGAAGCCCTCTCTGTCTTAGTCAGGCGTGTAGGACTCGTGGATGGGTCTGAAGAAAAGCTGGGGAAAGAGATGGAGCAGTCTCACCTCCCCACAGTACTAACCTCAGAGACTCTTCATAAAGCTCAGACTTGGGTCTGGGTTGTGCCCTTTACTAACTGTGCAACCCTTGAAGAGTCCCCCATTGTCTCTGAGCCTCAACTTCTCATCTGCTACCAGGGAGCAAAACTATACTCATCTCATAGGTAGTTAGGCAATTAAATGAGTTATTGCATGGAACATGCTTAGCCTGGTGACTTGCCTAAGTTAAAGACTCATCTTAATTGTGAGCATTGCTACTGTTACTGTTTTCAGACCAAAAAAGGGAAATCCTACTTGGCTCTCCGAGACCTCTGTGTGGTCCTACTGAGCGGACAATGTCTGGAGGTGAAGTGTGATGTGGAGTCCACAGCAGGAGCTGTCTTCACTGCTGTCATGTCCTTCACCAACCTTGAGGAGACCACCTACTTTGGCTTGGCTTATGTGAAAGGTAGGTGTTTCCTGGGGACACTATTGACCTGGAGCTTCTGGGAACCCAGGTACACGAGCATCTGAACTCTGTTTCTCCTGAAATGCTACTTGATCCTGGGACACCTTACTTTGCTGACCTCAACACAAGTTGGCATAAAGGGTGCTGTGTGAAAAGCACAAGTGAGCACAGACTGTCATGAAATAATGTGGGTAGAATGTGGGTTAGTGGCTGGCCAGGTCGGATCAGTTATAGTCCTCTGAAGTTAGACAAACAAATATTGAAAACATTTCTAAATTATCTGGGGTGATGCTGGCATTTTGTACCTTGGCTCCAAATAACCCAACTTAATCTTTCATGAGAGAATGGTTTTTATATTTCTTCCCAAGTCTTTCTCTTCATGAAGGCCCTTTTTGCCTGTGAGTTCTCAGGGTGGCACAGTGGGGCTGGTGGCAGTGTCCTTGTTTCCCAAGAGTTCTCTTCAGCAACTCTACCACAAGGACCCCATTTTCAAACAGAAGGAACAGCCATTCTGTGCTGTTATGTAGGTCGTGACTGATGAAGTTTAACTTATGAAACAAACAAACTAATGAAAGCATTTTTAGGAAGCATATTCTTTTTAAGTGCCTTCTATATAATAGAAACTACTCAAATCACTTTGTTTTTTTTAAAAAAAAACATTTTAGTTAAAATATAGCTACATCACCTCCCCTTCCTCTCCTCCCTCCAACCCAATCCATGCCACACCTTTCAAATTCACAGCCTCTTATTTAATAACAACAACAACAACAACAACAATATTGTTAGGCACACAGACACCCAGACACACATACACCCTGTTGCGTCTCTTTAGTGATGCCTGTAAGCATATGTTTTCAGGAATGACACTTGGCATTAGATAACTCATTAGAGACCTCATCTCTGGGGAAACCTAATTCTCTTTTTCAACAGTCATTAGTGTCCTGTAGCTTTTCATCTAGGGTTAGAGCCCCGTGCGCTTGCCCCCAGCCACACTGGCATGCCAATTGGCATCGTTACTATTCAGATCTTGCTTAGGCAGCGATATCGTTGCGATTTCATGGGTATGGCTTTCCTGTCATATGTAGAAGACACAACCTTGCAGCAGACTTCCTGGTCTTCTGGCTTTGACAGTCTTTCCACTCCCTCTTCCACTGTGTTCCTGGAGCTTTGGGTGTAGGGGTGTAGGGGTGTAGGGGTGTAGGGGTGTAGGGGTATAGGAGTGTAGGAGTGTAGGGGTGTAGGGGTGTGTTGTAGTCATACCAGCTGGGGTTGGATGCCCCATGGCCAGTTGTTCTTCGTGTTTTGACAAGCAGTGGCTTTCTGTAATTGTTCCTGTCTTCTGTAAAAGAAGCCTTGTTGATGAGAGGCGAGAGCTACACTTCCTGACTGGGCAGCCCACAGAAAACATTGCATTTTATTGATGTGAAGTGTATAATCTCAGTAGAAACCAGGGCTTGGGAGATGACTCAGTTGGTAATGTGCCTGCCCTGCAAGCAGGACTTGCATTTGATTACCAGGACTCATGTGTAGAACAATCTAAGTGTGACGGTATGCCACCATAATCCCAGTGCTGGGGAGGCAGAGGCAGGCAGATCCCTGGGGCTTGCTGGCCTGCCAATAAAACCTCCCTGGGGAGTTCCAAGACACCTCGAGTCCCTGTCTCACTAAAAGTGCTGGATGATGTTCGAGTAATGGCATTCAAGACTGTCCTCTGGCCTTCACAGGCACATACATACATGTGCTTCCACATGTACACAAAAATGCACATATATGCTCAAAACACTAGATGAACAAATAAGCAAAATGTATTTGAATATAACCTTTTCCCTCCAGTCAAGGAGGAGCTTGTAAACACTTCTTATGGGGATGATACCTGGGTTTCTGGAGCTGCTTAGGGAGGGGCCTCCTGAAGAAATCTGGAAAGAGACCATCTTGGGAGGATTTGCCAGCCAGACTGTACTTGGAGCTCATTTCCTCTGGGAGAAAATCCAACATATGGGACAGTGAATGTGGGGTGGAGAGTCAAACTCAGCAGAAAGGGTGGAGTGTTGGGATTCTAGGGTGACAGCCATTAGAAGTGTCTGGACAGCTACCTACCTCTCCACACATAGCAGCCCAGGCAGCAAGGCTGTGGCTAATTTCAAAGCCCTGCTTTCTAACTGTGGTGGGAGTCTCACCCTGGAACAAATCACTGTCCTACACACTGAGGTAGGAGGGTGGAGCATAGGAGCAGACAGCTTGGTATATATGGAGCTTCAGGCAGGGGTTGACCTGCAGGAATCCTGGGACCCTATGTTTCCCAGTTTGACTGAGAGCAGCTTTTCAAGGAGAAGAAGGATGGGGACAGCATTCAGTAGTTCAGACCGATTTAACTGTCCATGTGGACGAGATGGAGGGACTGCCGCAATAAAGTGGCATAAGTGGGTGGCTTAAACAGTAGGCTTTTTTCTCTTCAAAGATGGGGTCTTGAGGTCGAAGATGAAAGCGTCAGCCGATTTTTATTCTTTATAGTGATCTGCCCTCTGGATCACAGCGGAAATCCTTCTCACTGAGTCCTTACATGGCAGAAAGAAAGAATGAGGGGCAAGGGAGGGAGAGAGAAACTGAGTCATGAGTACCATTGCAGTGGGTGCCTGGGCTCACTGGATGAGTTGGAGGAGTATGCAGATGTTTAGTAGTCTGTGTCTGGGAGGTGCAAGATGGGCCAGTCGATGCAGAAAGACCTGGCATGTGGCAGAAACTTCATACTCCATGCCTTTGTCATAAAATGACAGCTGGGAACAAGGTGCTAAGTGGCAGCTCTTCATCATAAATGCAGTTGTCACTCAGCGTCCACAGGAAATAGATTCTAGGACTCCAGCGGACACCCAAATCCATAGACATTCATAAGCAAAAGGAAGTGGTGTGTATGTGTGCCTTGTGCATTCCCCTGTGTCTCTAGAGTCCTCAGAATGCCCAATTCAGTGTGAAAACTATCCAAAAGGTGCCCTCTTATACCATACAGGGGACATTGACAAAAAGTCCTGTACTTATTCAGTACATGTACAAATATTTCAGCATATGGTTAGTTGAACCTGCAGACTTGAAGGCTGTTCGTGTGGAAGGCTGTCTGTAATGTGTGTTTTTGATCGATTTTCTTTGTCTCCTTCTCTCCACTCCTATGGCCCCTGCAAGAGTCCCCTGTTACCAGATACAAAAGGGACCTTCTGCTCTCTCCTGCACCAATGCAGCTTATATCCCTCCCCACCCCTCTGGGCAGAGCTCTAGGGATGAGTGTGTGTGTGTTGGGGGGGGGGGGAGGCACACCTTATTGATTCTCCTCCAATCTCTTTTTCCATCCCAGATGAAGAGTTCTTTTTCCTGGACACAGACACCAGATTGTGCAAACTTGCCCCAGAAGGCTGGAGAGAGCAGCACCCAAAAGGTTCCATGAACACTTTAACACTCTTTCTGCGGATAAAGTTCTTTGTCAGTCACTATGGGCTGCTCCGGTGAGTACCACAGCCCATTCCTGGGATCGCTGAAGGGTTTATGGTCCAGGCTGGTATTACAGGTAGTGGATAAGCAGATAACACAGGGGAGGGATAATAGATAACATATAAAGGCCAGTTTCTGTCCACGGGATTCTGATGTAATGGAATCAAGAGGAAACCAGTCTTTTATAGGCAGGGCCTATCAAAATGAGAAATCGCTCCACGTATTTCAAACAGTCCACTCAACATTTAAGTTCTCTTTTCCCTAAGTCTCTGCCATGCACAGCTCCACAACTCCAGGGGTGTACATTGGCTTTGATTCAGCTCACCTTCTCTGGTTTTTCATTGCTTACTGGAGAGACTACCTAACTGAACATAAGTTTTATGGCTTGAATTACATCCTCTTGGGTATCTGGTATAGAGAAGCCCTCATCAGGACTGGTCTGGGCAGAGGAGTCCACACTAATCTCTCTTCTCTGAGTTCTGATGGGTTGTTTTCATTTTCCCAGTCTGAGAAACCCTTGCTTTTCTAGCTCTCCACATCCAAGCTCTCTTCATTCTTGTGTTTCTTTGCTAGGCACAGCCCAACAAGGCATCAGTTTTACCTGCAACTTCGAAAAGACATTTTAGAAGACAGGCTGTATTGCAACGATGAGACACTGCTGCAGCTGGCAGTCCTTGCCCTGCAGGCTGAGTTTGGCAATTATCCTAAGGAGGTAGGGTGGTGCCTGGGGCCTTTGGGTGGAATCACTGGAAAGATGAACATGGGATGCTGAGACTGTTAGGAATATGGAGGCTTTGCCTTTGAGAAGTGCTCCATCCAGCAACCTACCCACCCATTCATTTATCAAACAAGCATCCACTGAACATTCTTTCTGTGTTATGCATTATACAAGGTCAAACAAACAAGTTCATACATTGTAATATAGTCCTTGTCTAGTACATCCTGCTTTACATTAGTTAGTTTGTCCTATTATGATGAAATACCCAAAAAAGTTAACTTACAAAGAGAAAAGGTTTATTTAGCTCATAGGTTTAGAAGCTTGAAGTCCAGGATTGGACCACTCCGTTGGTTTGATGAGGGTGCTGGGTATCAGGACCTCATGGTGGGAGCACATGTTGGGAGGAACTCATAATGCCAAATAGGAAGTCAGAGGGAGAGAGGCTGAGGTCCCACGGTTACTTCTGAAGAGAAGCCTCCAGTGACCAACAGTTCTTCTTCCATGAAAGCTCCATCATTTCCCAATAGCACCACACTGGAGATCAAGACTGTCCACTGTCTCTTGGGGATCACTCAGACCAAAGCCATACCACAGTAAGGCACACATACTGAGCTTTTAATCACCATTATCACCAATATTAATAGCCAAGCTTTACTAAGAGATCACTCTATCTGCCATTGACATAAACATCTAACCCACATAAATATTGCAAAGCTGACACCACATATTCTAGATAGACAATCTGTAGATGGTTTAAAGTCTTTGCACCTGAGTGTGAGTCAGTCAGGGGCAGTTTTACTGGGAGGCATGTCCTCTCAAACAGTGCCTCTTCTTGACTATAGCAGCCCCTTGCCATAGCAGCAGAATCATATACAAGTAAGGGTGTGGATTTGGGCCATTGAGGAAGTGGGGAGGATGGGGGAAGTTGGGGAGGGAAAATTGTAATCAGAATATATTTTATGAAAAACTCCATCTTCAATAAAAATATACCAATAAACTTTATTTTTTAGAGCAGATTCAATTGGAGATGCAGAGATTTTCTGACCCCCATTGCATAGCCTTCCACCCAAAACAACATAACCATACTGATATATATATATATATATTACAATCAATCAACCTGTTTTGACATATTGTTATTACCTAGAATCTATACTTGTGCTTGATTCTCTGTGTGTGGGTATTTCAAATAGCATTAGGGGTGTAGGCTAGATTTCTAGCACTGTAACAAAATACCTGTGGCCATCAACTTACAAGGAGGAAAGATCCACTTGCCTCCTGGTTTCAGAGGTTTTAATCCATGGTCATTGGCTCTGTCAGTTTGGGATGTGGTGACACAGTAAATCATGATAGAAGTGAATGGTGAAGGCTGCTCACCTCCAGACCAACAGGAAGGATAGGAGGAGTCCGGGGTCTCAGTATCTCAAGGGAATGCTTTCAATGACACAACTCCTCTCACACAGCTATCTCTGAAAGGTTCTCAACTTTCCTAATGCCACCGCCCTGTAATACTGTCCCTCATGCTGTAGTGACTCCAACCACAACATTACTTCTGTTGCTACTTCAAAACTGAAATTTTACTACCGTTCTGAATCATAAGGCAGGATATCTGATATGTGACCCCTGTGAAAAGGTTATTCAACCCCCAAGGGGGTCATGACCCACATGTTGAGAACTGTCTTAAAGGTTCCACTCCCTTCTAATAGTAAGTACACAGGGCTTTGACATCACATGGCCTTCAAGGGACATTCTGTATTTTAACTGCAGCCACAAGGCTTCAAAAGGGACAGCGCCTCTCTGTGTTGTTAGCGGGCAAGAAGAAGAGGCTTTCAGCATTTTATGAGGTGATGGGGCTGGCTAGGTGGCACCTGTCACAGTCTGGAGGACTTTGTATGTCTTGCTAAGGGGCTTCTATTTTGGAAATGCTTCTGGTGGTGGGAAAAGAACTGAAAGCTGTTGTTGTGAAAGATGGGTGCCCCTGCAGAATTTTAAGCAGGGAAGTAGCATGATTATATTTGCATTTTAAAAAGGAGACAAAGGCAATTTAGTATAAAAATAAATCTCCTTAATCACACATCACAGCAGAACAACGTTCCACAGGCTCAGACTCTTCAGCCTGATCACGTGGGGATTTTTATACAGTCATAGACATTGCTGCACGCCATCTGCATTATTTTCTGCCTTCCTGATGATGTCACGGGTCTGGAGCGCTTGCATGCTATGACTCCATGGGGCTGGGACGTCCATCGAGTATCCAGTCCCTCTGTTGAGCATTCCCCTGATAGTGCCATGTAAGTGATAATTGGGATGATCATCACACCGTAGTACCTTGGGTGTTTCTCTTCTACAAATGCCTCAAAGACAATGGTACTTGTGCCTAGAACTTTCTAGGTCCTTGTTGACATCTTCTCTTAGGTACGTTCATAGCAGGAAATGCAGGGACAAAAATCCTATATTCCTTTTCTCCATCCCTAAATGTTTTAATAAACTTAATTTTTCAGGACACATGTTTGTTAGCTTTCTGTCACTATGACAGAATACAAGAGATAATCTGCTTAAAGGAAAGAAGCTTTATTTGGCTTCACAGAGTTTGGTCCATGATTACAGGCTCCCTCTCTTTAGGTAGGCCTAGGTAAGGGAGCAAACCTCAGGGGTAGAGCAGAACAAAACTCATGGTAGATCATGGTAGCCAGAAAGCAGAATGACAAAAAAGGGAAGGGGCTGGGGTCCTGGCAGCAACCTTATTCCCTTCCACTGGATCCCACTTGCTAAGGGTGTCCCCAACTGTGCCGCTTGCTGGTGAAAGCCGATAGCATTCGGGAGACTTAACACAACTATAACAGAACAGTTAAGTTTACAGCAAATGGCAGGTAGGAATGTCTGCTGTGCCAACATCTCCCCTAGTGAACATCATAATTTCCTATCAGAGGGCACATTTGTTACAATTGCTGAACCAGTGCTGACAGACTGCCGTCACCAGAGTACCTGGTTAGCACAGGGATCGCTCCTCGTGTCGTATACTGCGTATGTTTTAACGAGCATATAACGGAGTGCATCACTATCATTCGGCCACGCAGAGTCGTCTCATCGCTCTAGAAGTCGTCAAGAGCTCCCTCCCCTTGCTGGCGTTCTGCCTGTCTGTCCGCTGGCAACCACTCATCTCTTTACCGTGTCTGTAGCAGGAGAGCTCATGTAGGCTTATGTCATTTAGTAACATGCCTTTAAGCACCTTCATGGCCTTTCCTTGTTAGTGGGTTTTTTTTTTTTTTTTTTTTTTTTTTTTTTTTGTGCTGAATAGCATATGCCATCACCCAGATGTACTATCGTTTTTTGTTTGGTTTTGATTTGCTTTTACACTTACTCCCCGGACAGCTTTTGCTTCCGTGGTTTGGCGATTATGGGTAAAGCTTCTGTGAACAGCCATGTGCAGTTATTCGTTTATGTTCACTGCTATGCATAACCCAGGGCTTCCTGCAGGCCCTCTTCCACTGAGCTACAGTCTTGGCTTCTTGGTAGCCTTTTCTGTGGACATAGGTCTTCGGTCTTTGGGGTTAATTGCCAGGGCCTCAATTAGAATCTGTTTTAAATCTGCAAGAAGTTGACCAACTGTCTTTCAAAATGGCTGTACAATTTTCAACTCTCACCCACAATGAATGTGAATTCCTGTTGTTTCTATTCCCAACAACACTTGGTATTGTCAGTGTTCTGCATTTTGGCCAATCTAACATGATTTAGTTTATTTATTTATTTATTACAATTTATTCACTTTGTATCCCCACTGCAGCCCCCTGTCTCGTCTCCTCCCAGTTCCACCCACTCTACCACTTCTCCCCCTATGCCCTTTTCCTAGTCCCCTGATAGGGGAGGACCTCCTCCCCTTCTATCTGACCCTAGCCTATCAGGTCTCATCAACGTTGGCTACATCAACTTCTTCTGTGGCCTGGCAAGGCTGCGCTCCCTAGGGGGAAGTGATCAAAGAGCTGGCCACTGAGTTCATGTTAGAGACAGCCCCTGTACCCCTTACTAGGTAACCCACTTGGAAACTGAGCAGTCTATGGGCTTCCTCTGAACAGGGGTTCTAGGTCCTCTCCATGCAAGGTCCTTGGTTGGAGTATGCTTTATTTTTTTAATGCACTAGAGCACTGAGAATATTGTTTTAAATTTTCTTTTGTGCCATTGATCTTACCCGTGACTCACTCTGGGTCACCTGGAGAATTCTGGGATTCTCAATCTATGACCACGTGTTTACAGGATTGTGCCACAGCATGAATGTGGGGTGTGGTGGATACAGTGGTGTGCACTCCTGAACCCTGTCACACTGACTCACCCACCCTCTGAATAAAGGTCAGATTCACCCAACTCCCAGCTGCCTTCTTCATGATAACTACCATCAAAGCAGTGTTTGGGGATGGGATGACAACGGTTCACCCAGGGGTAGGCTGTTGGAGATCAGGATAGAAATCAGAAATGCAGAAGCAGGGTAAGCTCTTCACTACCCAGGCCTATCTTTCTCCTTTTTTGCAATGGACTTGGAGATGTATCTCCATGAGCTTCACCATACTTCGGTTTGTCCCCACGTCTGTGTTGAGGGAACCCAGTACTAAATACTAACTGACACTGATCTTCTAGACTCTCCTGAGGAACTGTAGCCTCAGCTTCTTAAGTAGCAGACCTGCTGCAGATTGAGGTTTGGGTTGGGGAGAAGGATCTGGTCTCTCCAAACATGGTCCTGTATAGAGATGATGTCATAGCTGAAATTTCCTTGTTTGGCCCCACTTCTGATACAAACCCAACACTGTGTTCCAGAGGCACCTCAAAGGAGTGTCATTGTCCCAGGCTGTTGGGAGTGTGGTTTCACACACATTTCTCTTCTATTTAGAAGTGGCTGGAAGGGATCCTGGCTAAGCTTTCTTCTGCATGCTCTTCCTAGCAGGTGGGGAGTAAAGAATACTTCCGAATTCAAGATTACATCCCGGCAAGGCTTATTGAGCGGATGACAGCAATCCGGGCCCAAGTAGAAGTCTCAGAGATGCACCGACTCAGTTCTGCGCCGTGGGGAGAGGATGCCGAGCTAGAGTTCTTAGAGGTGAGGCCTCTGGGGTCTGGAGAGAGGTGTTAGGGTTCAGGAAATATAGTCAGTGATTCTCTCTGTAGCCATCTTTGGGGACCAAAAGGGATGAAATTTGCAAGGAGTTATAGGCAAAAATTTAGCCCACAAAAGGAAGACTCTTTCATCACACTGAGCAACAAGGAAAGGTTTCTGGTAACAGGTTGCATTAGGAATGATCCCTCAAAGGGATAGGATCTAATGAGCTAGGCTAATGTTACAGGGCCTTGCTTTGACCTTAGAGAGGCATCTGTGGCACTTTCCTGTGGGCAGGGATGTGCACATTTTCCTGTATCTAAGCCTCACAGTTTGGGTCATAATATTCTGTCCAAGTGTTTGCTTGTTTCTTTGGTTTTGCCTTTAAGAAGATAAGTGCTTGAGAGAAGAATGGGAAAAGTAAGGTTTGCCCTGTTCTTTTTGGCCAGTCACCTAGGAAAATGATCCCCACACCTAACATTGGGGGGCGCAGTCTGCGAGCACGTCGTTGTCTAAATCCCACCAGAAACACTCACTGAATTCTGTAGTCCAGTCTCACACATGTCCCCTGTCAAGAACATTCCCTTGACGAGGGACACGTGCCTCAAAGCCATCAGATGATGAGTGGCCATAGAACTAGAGAACCGAGCTGAGATCAAGGATGTCAGCCTGCAGGCCATTACTGTGGGGTGAATGCTGCCTGCAGGCTGTCCCAAGCCATCTTCATGGGCTGGATTCAGTCACATTCCTCCCTCCACTGGGTAACTATAAAAAAAATAGCCACCATCTTACAAGCCAAAGGCTGAAGGCTTTTTTCATCCTAACTTTCACGAAAAGCATCGATTTTGATCATTTGCTTGCAACGTTCATTCATGTCGAGACGTACTCTGGGTCCTGATCTTCCCATTGGTGTTCTGATACAGTGACTAATGCATAGGATGCCTGTCCTTGATGCAGAGAGTTGAAGAGAGTGAGCTTTGCACCCACAGGGAGCATCTGTATCACACTGTGAGCTTGTCAACGTCTTTTCCCAAATACGAAGAAAGCATTTCTCTGCCATGCCCCCACAGAGAGTGAGCACACTTACATTTTGATATAGTCACACTTCTACATTTAAAGGGGACATATATTACTTAAGCACTTCTTAGAACCCTGAATTGCCAAAAAAAAAAAAGAAAAGAAAACTTGCTTTGAATCAATATCTACTTCCCATCAGCATTGTATCATTTGCCATGTAAATAGTCCCAATATGCAAGGCTGAAATTAGTATTTTTCTATATCCATCGTTGGCTTTATTTCTGTTTTGTTTATTAGGGGTAGACTCCCTGCATGGAGTCACACAGGCAGGTAGCAGTGCTCAATTCAACCACTGATGCTACAGATTGTCGAAGCATCTTGTACCCCACTTACTTCTGGACATTTTTGGTCCCACTAACCAGGATGCCATACCAACAGTGCCCAGATCCACAGAGCCTAACACGTAGCTGTTATAACACAAATAGTCACTAGATATTTAATTATAGCTCCTCTAGGCTCTTCTTTTTCATCCAAAGAGGAAATCATTCCCAGGTGGCTGCCTGCTGGCTTGGTTCACGGATGCTGTGCTCTGCCAATTCATTTTCTCCCACTGGCAGCAGACTTGGCAACAGCCCAGCGTGGGCACCACTGAACACCACCATTGGTCTGGAAGATTCACAGCTGTGTGAGTGTGTGACTTCCTGAACAACCTGTTCAAGGTTTGCTCACTGTTTCCTGGACATCCTCAATGCTAGAACTGTTCCCACTCAGCTAGGGACAGTGATGTGTTATGTGGAAACAAATCCAGTTGCCTGTTGGAATCACATTGGTTAAATTCTGTGTTTTTTCTCCTTAGCATTCTAATGGATGCGTCCCCCAGGTGTTTCAGGCACTTTGTCCTTCCTTGCTGGGAGGTAGGCTCCCTTGACCCAGCCCTGGAAGTCTGTGCTAAATTAGGAACCGAATTATGAGAAGGATTTGTCTTGGTTACTCAGCATGTTTTTCCGGAATACATTCACAGAGATGGAATTATAGGGCTAAAGCATATGAGTTGCTGTGAATTAGGAAAGAGAAATCCATTTGTGACCCACAGTTTTCAGGACAGCAAGGAACAGTTAGGACTGCTTTGTTCCAATCTCATTTGCTGCTGGCTGCTGGAAGAACAGAAAGCCATGTCGGAATGGATGAGGAAAGGCACAGTGGGAGACAGGAGACAGATATGCTATTTTACTTTAACAGATGGAAGGTGCCCTAGAAAACATTATGCATATTTATCTGTGTTCCCAGTCTCTAGGGATGCTCCAGATTTTAGTCGTTAAGAATGAATTCTTGAAATCAAACAGACTCTTCTACTCAGGTTCCCATTCTGGCCTCCAAGGAATTTAGATGTACTACTTGGGTCAGTGGAATGATTTGCCTTTTAGATATAGGAAAGTTTATTTTTTATTTTTTTCTAAGCTTACTAAACCAAAAGTTGGCACATCAAATCCACTAACAGGAAATTGCTCTTGTATATGTAATAAAAATAAATTGAAACTATTATTTTCAAATAGAGCCACATACATATGGCCACATACACTCCAGTGTATTGCTGGAAACTGCTGGAAACTGCTCTCCTAGCCCTGTACTTTGTCTTATATTTGTTCCAATAGGGTTTGGTGTTTTAGGCATGTTCACCAACAGGGCCAGGAAACACAAGTTGGCAATACATGGGTAAGAATATTAGAAACAAAGGGGAGGCTGAGTGTCCTTAGCCACAGCCAGAGAATCTGTGTGAATGTAGACCCAGGCTGAACTATGAACTTCCAAACAGACAATGAAGTCTGGGTAGAAAAGTCACTGATAATGTTCAAATACCCATAGCTGTTTAGTAGAGAATATCTATGCTATCAAAACCCTTCTACCCCTCACCTGAGCACGGTCCTAGTGCTACTTGGTTGTGTGGTCAAAGAGGACTCGTCAGTAGGCAAGTGATGACACAGAGGATCCAGTGGTTATTGGGTATATGCTTTGTGAAAGCAATTACAGATGTAAAAAAAAAAAAAATACAGGATTGAACTTCTGTAATGTCAGTACCTGGTTTCATTGTGTGGGGCAGTTATATTGATTTTGAACAGGGTATCTCACTGTGACCTGCAGCTTACCAATTAAACCAGACTAGCTGGCTGGTGATCCTCTCATTTCTGCCTCTCTAGTACTTGGATTACAAACACCCATCACCACATTCAGCTTTTTACATCAGTGCTAGGGATGAAACTCAGGTCTGAGCCATCTTTTTGGCTGTTACAGCTGCTTTCTTTGTGACTTCCTGACCATAAGAACAGAAGAAGACATACATGCTCATTAAAATGTTGGATTGTGTGTGTGTTGGGGGTGGGGGAAGGAGTTTCCTTTCCTTTCAGTTGAAGAATTTGAAGAACTTGGCCTGTAGAGACAAAAACATTTAATTGTCCTGAGTTCAATTGATTAGATTACATAGCCCTTCTGTGCCTCCATTTTCTTCTTTGTAGAGGCAGCCTTTGTCTTATGATATGAAAACTAAATGATAAGGAAACAACACGTGCCTGAGCAGCATGAGTTATTGGTACTCAAGTATCATGACTCCCAGAATAATTAAAAATACAAAAATGGAAAGTTAATGCTAAAGATTTAAAAAGGTTTAGATCATTTTCTAAAAGCAAGTTTAGAAAGGCATCTTTAGTCTCACGGTGGCTATTTCAGAGCCTTAGAACAACGTTCATCAAATTCCTTAACATAATGTGCCATACTTTCTTGGACAGTCTCTCTTTGTCACACTTAAATCAATATCCGACTGGCTTTAGATGTTTCAATACTAGTACTCAGTGCTTTTATTGGGTGATGATGGTGATGATGATGATGATAACAACAATATGAGAGTGTCTCTTCAGGCCAAAAGCAGGAGGCCAAGCATCCAGACACTTAATCATAATCTCACAGAAAGCCAGGGTGTCTGTTGGCTGTGTCACTTGTCTACAGTGGTGACTCATCTGCAGGAGAGACGTCTGCTGTTGAGATGGTACCAGACCTCACCAGTGAAGCCCTTTTGAGAGGCTCTTAATTCTCCATAGCAGGAAGCCTTTCCTGCAGGTCCATGCACACAGCCTTCTGATGAGAACTTCCTGGCCGTGGGACTGCTGTTCAGACAAGAAAACATTTGTGTTGAGCTCATGCTTGAAACACTCTTGAGAATTCAGTTGGCCTGATGGAGCTCTGATTGATCCTTGGCCTCTGGCAAAATTCAATCTCCTAGTTTAGTAAACTGAGGCAAGAGCTGAGGCTGTGGAGATCCTACAGAGGCATTAGTAAGTTTCAGAAAGGCATGCTGGAGTGACGGGCATTTCCCTGCAGCTTGCTCTTGGCTCAACTTGCTAGGATAGCCTTGCTAATGACATAAGACTCCTTTTTGTGCCTAAGCCTCAGCTTTTGCAACTAGAACATGGAAAAAAAAATGGGAATAGATGATTGATACAACCAGGGAAGAGAACTTCTGACCTTGAGATGTCCCAAGAGAGTCTGACTCCTAAGAAACATTTATTCACCATTCTTTTATCCTAGTGTCCTATAAGAGTGTGTCCCAAATGTTCTCTTAGGTAGTCTACAAATAAGGGATTCTTTGGACAAAACACAAACCAACCAAAACCAAAACCAAAAACAAAAAACCCCCCAAAAACCCAACCTCCCAAACCCAACAGAAACAAAGAAGGAAAGAAAGAACGAAAGAAAGGAAGAAAGACAATGTCATCATATCAAAGGTATAGACATATTCCAGAGTAAGAAAGAACTGTCTAGCTGAATGTTTCTTCATCTTGTTTGGCAGTGATGGACCTTTTTCACAGAAAGGGTCGAGGGTCCCTATAATTTTCAACCAGTGAACTCACGGGTCCTGAATTGGCCTTTTTCTCCCTCTAGGTTGTTCAGCAACTCCCAGAATATGGAGTCTTGGTTCACCGCGTTTTCCCAGAGAAGAAGAGACCAGAAGGGGAATTGGCCTTGGGGTTCTGCACCAAAGGCATCATAGTCTACAAAGTGAAAAGCGGCTGCAGAATGGCAACATTACAGTTTCCTTGGAGAGAAATTGGGATGATTTCAACTCATGTGAGTGAAGCTCCATCGACGGACACCCACGCCTCCCTTTCTTTTGATCTACGGCCCTTTTAAGTAGCAGTGCCTACCTAGATGTCTTTTGACATATTCACATACAGCTGGCCATCAGTTAACCTGTATTCTGGTGCATTGATGTACATGCAAGGGGTTGGGGCCTCAGGAAGGCTTTCTTCTTCTTCTTCTTCTTCTTCTTCTTCTTCTTCTTCTTCTTCTTCTTCTCCTTCTCCTTCTCCTCCTCCTCCTCCTCCTCCTCCTCCTCCTCCTCCTCCTCCTCCTCCTCCTTCTTCTCATGTTACCTCTTGGCAGCTGTAAAAGAAAGAAAAAGTGAAAAAGTTTTTTTTTTATTTTTTTAATTTCCTCAGCTGAGGGGATGAGATGAGCACTGTTCCCAAGCCTTTCTAGCTCTTTCTGAACTCTCAAAGCTGACTGATCCAAACTGGCTTCTCTTATCATCTTCTGACTGAATTGCTCTGCCTAGCCTCAAATTAAATCAGACAATATATTCTAATCTGGCTCCTTATCATTCTCTGGCTCATTTTGTCTTCACCTTTTTCTAGCTTATTTTCTCGGCAACCTGTCTCTGTAAAAACCATCCTAGTAAAAATGTCTCAGTAAAAACTCTCTCCTTGATAACCTAGAACCCCTGCACAGATGTAGCCCATGACAGTTCAGTCTCCAAGTGGGTTCCATAGTAATGGGAACAGGGACTGTCTCTGACATGAACTGATTGGCCTGCTCTTTGATCACCTCCCCCCCCCCTGCTCTTTGATCAGGCCACAGAGGAAGACAATGTAGCCACTCCTGATGAGACCTGATAGACTAGGATCAGAAGGAAGGAAAAGAAGACCTCCCCTATCAGTCTTGCGGAGGGGCATGCGTGCAGAGGGGGGAGGAAGGGAAGGATTGGGACGGGAGGGGGGAAGGAACCACAGGGGGGATACAAAATAAATAAAGTGTAATTAATTAAAAAAAAGTAGCCTATGGTTACAGACATAACCAAAATAAATCACAGAAACTTATTTTTAAAAACTTTATTCCAGAATTTTTTACATCATTATAAATGCTGAATATAAGAGTTTTTGATGTTTTATATATAAGAACTATTTTATTAATAAGAATTCTTCAAATATGATGATGTTATTTTGGATAATATTGTTCAGAGCATCAATTTTTATTATAGATGTTATGTTGTCAAAAGGTTAATTAAAATAAACCATGGCATCCAAAAAAACAAAACAAAACAAAACAAAACAAAACAAAACAAAAACCTCTCTCCTCTCCCCTTGCACTGCTCTTAAAAGTAGCTTCCCTTTCCTGTCCCGTTCTTGTGAGAGTTGGGTATATCCTATTTCTGACTCATTCTGTCAAATCTTTCTCTGATGCATTACGTTGCCCCTCAATTAGACATCACTTTCAAACCTGGCTGCTTCCTTTTATAAGCTAATTTTGCCTTCACTGTTTGGGATTAAAGGTGTGTACCCAGGGCGTGCCTGTATTCCAATCAGATCAGACTGTAATCCAGAGCATGTCTGGCTTCCAGCCAGATCACATAGACCTAGAAGGTCTTTGGATGTGATCCCTTGCCAGAGCCATGTTGTGGGATTAAAATTCCTCTACAGCCAGCTTCCTCAGAGCCTCCATAAAAAGCCTGTATTCTCAAGTGCAACATTTTGTATCCATGCCTTCTCCTAACCCGGGGAGTCCACCTGTGCTCAAAACAAGGACAAGTGGGATCTGAAGGAAAAGAACGAAGTTGAGGTTTACTGGAGCCTGCAAGGTTCCGAAACATCTGCCCTATGGCTTGGTGCCTCCTCTGCAGGTAGAGCTCAGGCATCCAGTGTGTCTTGTGTTGATTGCAGGCACCTTGGCAGTGTCTGATGGCCACTGAGGTTTTAAAATATGCAACAAAACAAAACAAACAAACAAACAAACAAACAAACAAAAAAACCTCCCTGAACATCCAAGTTGCTGTACATTTCAAATCATATTAAAATGCCCTTTACACTGTTCAGTTCCAGAATTTAATTTCTATGCACTTGGCACTGGGACCTGGTAGCTGAGTCCCTGTCTATCCTAAGGTTAACCAGGTCAGGATTTATTTATGTCATCTAAAGACAAAGTTCTTTGGCACATAATAGAATTTCCTAATACCCTATCACTTGTGTTTAGAAAAATAAAGCTTATGTAAAATATATAATAATTAGCATAATTTGAGTTCATTAAACTGACCTATGCATGTATTGTCAGGGTATTGATATTTTTCACCAAACTTAAATATAAACAATGTTTATACTCATGAATTTTTCAGAACTTTAATTATTTAAAGAAATATGAAATGTATTTAAAGAATTCAGATTACTGAATCAAATTCAACACTATTATATTATTTCTCATTTTCTTTATTTATCCTTAACTAAACAAAGATTTCAATGTGATTTGTCTAAATGCAGATTCTCTAAGCAGTAACTTTGAAACATGAAAAATTTGAGGCCATAAAGTTCAACAGTCCTCTTAAGTTTTTTTTTTTACACATACATGCATGCATACAGATAGACATACACACTTGTATATATACATATATTGGTTTCATTTTACAAGTACTTGTTTTCTCATTACCAGGCCAATTAAAAAAAATTAAATCTGGGAAGTCATCAACCTCACAAGCTCAAAGAAACTATTTAATTAGGATTTCCATCCCCTGATGATCAATTTCCTCCTTGGCATGAATGGGCTATTTTGCTGAAAAGTCATCATGAAGTAAGATCACCAGATGCTCATGGGCAGTTAAGTATCTTCCACAGAAAATGACTCTTCATGTTTCTGCAAGCCCCAAGTAGTGAGCTCTGAGAAACCAGAGATCAGTTCAGGAAGCTTCAGTTTTCTGTACTAATAGCTGGAGCCAAGATGCTTCAATCATATCTCATTCATCTTTTCACCCTTCAGGAAGTAGCCAAGGGAATAAAAGCACCATTTTCAATGAAGAAAATTCCTGGGTACCCTTGGCATCTCTGCATACTTGATATTCAATCAAAAACCATCCCTCTAGAAGAAGAAGCCTAATAGTGTTGATGACTGTAGTGTTTTCAGCATTCTCTCTAATCTTTAGAGATAAATGCATGGAGCAGAACAGACTGTAGAAGACTACACATGGCCCTCTTTAAGCAAAAGAATACAAAGTTGCAAAGAGAAGCTACTTCATAAAAGGCAATGTTGTTTAGAATAAGAAAAGAAACCCCCAAATTACAAATCTAAAAAAACAGAGGATATACTTTTTAAATGGTGCAAATGCCAGAAAAACACTTCATTAATTAGCTTCCTGGCAAAGCCTGTATGCTTTCTCTTTTGAGACTTTATATGGCATATTCTTTCCTTTATTTTCATATGACAGCATTTATAAAAATCATTTTTATCTAGAGAGAATAAAAGTACAGTTTAATGTATCTTTTAGAATGACTGAGATAGGATAGGTAAAGTGCAATTTTCACAAAGAAACAGTTGCTCCTTATAGTGTTATTGTAAGTTTCTGTGCTTCAAATGCAGAGAGAGAGACAGAGAGACATACACACAGACACACAGACACACACACACACACAGACACACACAAACACACACACACACACACACACACACACACACACAGAATCTGTTTCTCCCTTTTCAGATTTGTTTGAGAATAGTTATTAGATTTTTGTTTTGAATGATTGATTGGTTGGTTGGTTGGTTGAGACATGGTCTCATTTTGGAGCCCTGGCTGAAGTGGAGATCCACTTGCCCCTGCCTCCTTAGTGCTGGGATTAAAGGTGTGTGCCAAAGCACACAGCATGTGGTGTATTCAGAGGACTGTAGATCTGTTTCTCGATTCTAGGATTTCTATATCATGTTTGGAGTAAAGATAATGATTCCTTAATCTACAGCATGGAGACGAGAGGTATAAATGCTCACAAAGTTCTTAACATAATTGTAACCTGGGCATCTTTTTGGGGCCTTTTATCTAGGGAATGACAGAAATCAAAACAAGTGAAAGTTTATTACAGAAAAGAAGGGTGGGCCTCCCATAGGCAGAGGAGCCAGGATAAAAGATACAGACTGTATTTTGTGGAGAAGGGTTTCTGTTTTTATGCTTTTTCCAGACAAGAGAGAAGGCTTCCAGTGCGCATGTACTACTTTGCACACAGCTGAAAACACTCCTATATTTTTGTTCTAACTCTCCCTTGGGAGAGCTTTCGCTATGCTAATGTGTTATAATGAGGCATAATGAGGATCCGGGTCAGTTCCCGGTCTGTTTCCTTGCTTCTTTGGTGGTGGCTGGTTCTGACTACAGCTCTGTTCCTCTGCTGGCTTATTACAGTGCAGCTGCCTGCTTGTTCTCTGCTGGCTCCCTGACTCATCGGAGCAAGAAGCTTGGAGCTTGTACAACAGAGACAATGGGGGATGCTTGCCGGCCATTTCACAATGCACTTGTGAGGGCCCAGTGTCCACTGACTCATCTCACGTTCTTTCTGTCCAGCACACTCCTAGACAATAGCAATTATATGGCAAACGTTTGGCTCACAAATGAAGGAGAAAGAGAAATAGAGGGATTTTTGTTTGGCCATTGTCTAAGAAAAGAAATTGGGCCTTTGTCAGACATTACCTGGCCTGTACTTGCAGAAGTGTGTTGATACTGAATTGAGGGGCTGATCTTGTATTGCTGCCTACACACATGTACTTCAAGGGGTGGGTGAGGACAGTCAGGGTTCTAAGCCTGTGTCTGCTTCCTCCAGAGAAAAAAGCTCACCATCACCAGCAGCAGCACTGGGGAAAAGTTCACCTTTGTCACCGATTCAGCCAAGACCTGTAAATACTTGCTGGGCCTCTGCTCTGCCCAGCATTGGTTTAATGCTCAGATGGGCTTCGAGCCGCCTCCGCATCTTCTAACTGGTGAGTATGTACTGTATGAGCACCGCGTAAGTGGACAGGCTGGCTCTTTCTTAAAGTAATTTGGGTGAAAAGATATAGTTGACCCCCAAATACTTGAAAAGCCGGAAATCGTTGCCAACAATGGCAGAAACACAATAAAAATGAAGTATAGATTTTATTCTCAGATTGACAAAAGTGAAACTAACACTAGGACAAATTGACCCAATCCTCTCAGATGAAACTGGAGATCTCGCTCTCCTCACCCCTATCTCCCCTTCATTTCCCCTTTGTTCTCCATCCTTCCCTCTGTCCATTCATCTAACTTTGCAAACACTGAAGGAAGGTCTATATCCCTATGACCTCACAATTTTACTGTAGATATTTATCCTAAGGTAACGAATACCGAAGTTGATGGCAAGTGGAACTGTCTGTGATTCAGGGCTGAATGAGGAAGGGCAATAAGAGGAGACCTGTGAGCAGTAGTGTAGTGGGACATCTCCACCCTTCACTAGGGGCTGGGGCACCAGCATGTGGACTGCTGAGCAGTCAAATGGTGGCAGGAGCAACCTAGAAATTAAATCTGTCATTTTATGTAACTTTTAGTGATGTTTAAATTTGAATGGATAGCTTATGTATATTCATGTGGCTAATTTCATGTTACAGAAGTAAACAAAACCCAAATCTTACTACCTTAAGGAGTTACATGTTCAAGCATGGCCATTTTCTTAACCTTTCTCGGTATTCAGCTTTACCAAAGAGTGTGTATTACCGATGTAATTAAGAAAGAGATTAATGGCTTAGATGAGGCCACACAATCACATGATACTGCTTAGTGTTTATTGAGGATGTGCTATGGAACCACTGACAGTTTCTCTTACTATTTTTCCTTGTGATAATTTCTTCAAAAATGATCTCAGTTTGGAAGCTGGAGAGATGACTCAGCTGTTGAGAGCAGAGGCTGCTCCTTCAGAGGACCTGGGTTTGATTTACAGTATCCACACGATAGCTTACAACTGCCTGTAACTTTAATTCCAGGGGATCCTAAGCCTTCTTCTGGCCTCCATGTGCACCAGGCATGCGAGTGGCAGAGAGACATAAATGGAGACAGAACACCCCCCACCACCGTGAAGATTTCATTTGTGACCACAGCGTACACACTGCTCTCTCAAAGTACACTAGTTAAGTCAGCCTATTAGGCTAGAACCTGCATTACTGGGAGGGGCAAACCACGGTGTGGAGAAGTAAAACCATGTCTCAGAATCTGGGTGGTGGGGCTAAGAATTAAACCTGGGGCCCCCGGAGGCCAGAGCCTAGCTGCTCTCCCCTGTGCCTCTGCCTTTCACCACTTGCCAAGCACAGCCTTTAATGCCCGAGACTTCTCTCTGGGTGCTGACCTTATCATGGTTGCCGTTGGCTTCTAAGTGCACTTCTCCTATTCATAAAAGAGAGCCATTAGCTAGAAGAGCCATTAGCACTGAGAACCTCTGAGCTGCTAAGGAAGTGGAATCTCAGGATCCACCCACACCTATTGAACCAGGATCCACACGTGCAAAAGAACCTAAGCGATTCCAACACAAGTACAAGGCAGAGGAGCCCTAAGGAAGAGGTCAGGTGTCCCTTAGACTCAACTGAGTGCCACTTACTGGCTGTGTGGCTTTGGACAGCTCATGTCCCCTCTCCGAGTCCCTCATTGGGACACACTGACCATCTCAGGTCTGTGCTGTGCTTCAGTGTGGCAGCAGGTCATGTTTCTAGCTCACTGCCAAGTGCTCAGTGCACTGTGACAATGGTGACAGTGGCTTCTACCAATGGGATCTGTTTCTGTTTCAGACAATATCCACAGAGGCCTTGACACTGGGCTCTAGGGACCAGCCCATGGCCTGAATGGACTGTAGAACAGGATCCGAGTTTTCAGAACTAGAACCAAACACAGGGAGTAAACATAACTCGTGGTCTATCATGTAGCAAATCTGTGAGCAGGTCACTGAAACCAGGGGCTGCTGGTTTCAGAGGATTTCCAGGGATCTAGAGATGATGAATGGGGATCAATTATACCCGACTTACCTTCTCTTGCTTAGATACTTACTGTGTGTGAAACACTCCCAATACTGTTTTTATTGCCCGATTTTGGCAACTGTAAAATATTTACGTAGATACTTTGAGCTCACTTGTGAACCGGGTCCTTCTGGCCTATTTTGCTCCTAATATCCTTTTTTTTCAAACTTCAAATTCTGTCATCTTAGGAGTTTCCAGAACATTTGATTTACATTAAAAAAAAAAAAGACCCACTTAACCAATTTCCCTTTGCATTTTAACAATCCCTATGAGAAACTCTCTGAAATACCATCTCCCTCTCATGTGTGCAACGCACATGTGTATTGATTGTGTGTGCATGCACGTATGTGTACACACAGGTAGAAGCCAGAAGACAAGCTCAGGTGTCCTTCCTCAGGAGCTGTCTACCTTGCTTTTTGAAGCAGGATCTCCCAGTGACTAGCAGAGGCTGCTGACTGGATCAGGTGATCTGGCCAGGCAGCTACAGGGTTCTGTCTGTCTCCTTCACCCCTGCCGAGTGCTGGGGCACTGGGTTCTCAAGCATGCACCTCTGTGCCTGACTTTTCTACGCCAATTCTGAGGCCCAAACTCAGGTCCAGGTGCTTGCAGGGCTGAGAAATCTCTCCAGACCCCAGACATTATTTCCAACGCTGCATGGAGGGGAGAGCTGACCACCTTTACCTCGTTTTCACAGTGGGTCTCTTCCAGTTCCTTCCCTTCCCAAGATAAAGACATGATCTTTATCTTGTTCAAATGGGACTACCATCACCCACTTTACAGGAAACTGGGGGTCCAGACCCTCCCTTCCTGTTCCACCTATCACCACATGCTCTCAGATAGGCATCTGGTAGACCTTGTTGTCGGGTCTTTCAGCCTTTGGAGTAGCCTCTCAAAAACTTGGATCCAGGCATGCTCTTCCTGCTAAAGCTTGTTCACAGTTCCACACTGTCAGCAGAGAGGAGTCCTAAGTTCTGAGGGGACTCTTTCTACTCTGGCCCCAGCCTTGACGTCTTCCTTGTTCTGATGCCTCTCTTTGCTTTCCAGCTGTCCCGCATGCCATGCTGATGGCTGCTGAAAACCGTGTCCCAAAATTCCATGTCTTGGTGTTCAGTGGTGTTGATGGTTAATACCAACCATCAACTTGTCAGGAGTGTAAAATGCCTAGGTTGACAAGTCTCCAGCATACCCATGGATGGTTGCCTAGATCAGGTTAACTGAGGAGGAGAAATCAGCTTTAGCTATAGATGACACCATTTCCATGGGCTGGAATCCTGGAGAAAACAGGAGAAAGCAAACTAGCATTCATTGCTGTCTGCTTTTTGCTTGAGGGAACAGTGTGATTGGCAGCCTCCTGTTTCTGCTGTCATGCTTTTCCCACCATGACAGACTTTCCCTTGAATGATAAGCCGAAATAAAACTTTCCTCCCTTAAGATGCTTAGGTGTTCGGTTACAGCAAAGAGAAAAGGAACGAATGCAGTGGTGTCCCCCATGATGATTCTCTAACCCTCCTGGAATCAGGCTACCATGATAGTCTGCCTCTCCTAGAGTAAGTTAAAGGGAACCTCCATCCAGAAGCCTTCCCTGTTTGGCTGTTCCCAGCTGACCCCTTCCTAGGTGGAAGGGACCAATGCCTCCTTTGGCGGACCTCTGTCCTTTCACCTGCAGTGTCTGTTGTGTTCAGTTGTGCATATATCTGTGACAGATGAGGATTTTCTTGAAGGTGGGGAAAGCATCTCATAACCTTCCCAGCTCCAGCATGGAACAGAGCTGTGGCAAATATGAAGTGTTATATACATGCCTTTTTATTTTATTTACTTATTAATCAGCTAATTAATTTAGGGATTGTCTTGCTGTGGAGCCAGAGTGGTCTTAAGCTCATTATCTTTGAGCCTCAGCCTTCCAGATGCTGGAATAGGCATATACTATTAGGTCTGCCTTTAATACTTATTTCTTGGATGGACAGATAGATAGTTGATTTGAATGGAAATAGTTAGTTAATCATTTCCTTTGGTATTTTTTTTTTCAATATTGTAAATGCAGCTGTGATGAGCATCATTAGAAAAATGTTTTTCTGGATTTTAAGTCACTCCTTAACCTCAGAAGTATAACATTGGGTTCCAAGCCAGGGAATTTTCAAAGCTTCACCGTGTCTCTTGATTTGTCATGCTGGAATGCAGGAGCCCCATGCCATCCTGGCTTCATTATTCTTTTCTCCATCTCGAAGAGTAGATGTCGTTGAATTTGTGTGTGTGTTTGACAGGTAAAAATGATCTCTCACTGTGGCTTTGTCTGGCTTCTTTGATGGGTGAAAAGTTGAACATTAACCACATGTCTCTTAGTCATCCTACTGTGAACTGTCTCAACAGGCACTTCATTTCATAGTTATATTTGGATCTCTGGGGAGAAATAAAAACCTCCAGCTTCTACGAACACACAGTTCCAGGATGGAGTCGGGCAGGCTCTGTCATCACTGCTGAGTGGGCCCCAAGTGTTTTCTCAGCCATTTTTGGGGTTGTGTCTTGAGCTGTGGGGTGTGCTTGGCCCTTCTCTGAGCTTATGCTTTCAGGCTATCCTTGTGCTAACCAGGGTCTCCCACCAGTGACTCTTCCCTTGTGGCCCTAGGTCAGGATGCTCCTTGGATTTTGAGATGCTACAACTAAGCTGGTTATAACTAGCCCTTAGCATCCAGATAGAGCCAGACATTTATCAGCTATGTTACTGGCGTCACAGTTATATTGTGGATCGTGCATAGCCTTGGACAGTAGACAGACATGGCCTCTCAGCATTCCAGTGTCTTTGGGGCATTCTTGGCAACCCTGCCTTCTGTTCTGGAGAGACCAGCACTCTTGGCTCTCCCACCTATCAGCCGGGGTACTAGCAGAGCACCATGGAGCCGAGGCCTGCTGACAATGGTCTCCTGTTCCTGCTGACTCTGCCACCTTGCTATCTGGTCCATGGAACATGCTTGGTGAAACTGGTGCCCTTCTCCTGCTGAGTGTGTCCTGCTGAGTATTAAACCTCTGTGACCTCCACATGTCACCTTGAGGCCTCTGTCCTGTGTACCAAGGCCTGGGAACATAGGTCCTCTAAGAACCAGGAGTGTGTGGCTTTCCTGCTCTGCTCACTTCTGTGCATCCCTTTTTCTAGAGGACAGCTGCTTCCTGGAATGCCAGTCTCTGTACAGTCCTGTCTCACCAAGCCTCTCCAGGCTCAGACTCCCCCATCCCCCAAGCTATCTCTGCCTGGAAAATCCCTTTCAGGTGTTAAATGTTCTGCCCACCACAGTTAAGGACAAGGTAATGAGAAGGCTGGGAATGCTTATATGATTCTTTAGTACTGCTACCTGTGGCTCTGTCTCTGTACCACTCCCACTATCCAGTGCAGACAGTGAAGCCAGTGGACTAAGGATGAAATCTGCTCTATTACTAACTGGCCTGGGGGACCAGGAGCAAACGACTCATCCTCAAGTTTTCTTGTCTGTAAAATGGGTACACTCTCCACCCTAGAGGGTTAGGGTGAGGTCTGCGTGACAGTGCGGGTGACCGTGGTTGCCGCTGAGTCTGTCACACAGGACACATTTAGTCAGAAGCTAGCTACTGGTGTTGCCTCGTTCCTGACAGGCCCAAGCTCTGGGGTAAGACTGAAGTCTATGCAAAAGCTACAGGCCACACTGAAATTACTCACGTTCCTCCGTTTTTGTTTTTGTTTTTTTTTCTCTTGCTCACTGTATGTGAGGAGTGAGACCACAGTCATCTTATATTCACAAATTCTCAACAAGTAATCTGTTTCAGTGGCTACCTTTTTCAGGGGGAACAGCCCTGGTAACACCCCAGATACTTGCAGAAAGGGTCTGCATAAGTAGTTAAACGTTCCTCACTCTCTCCATGCAGGGGTGTTTTACTGAGCACCCACACATGCATTCACACATATCATAACACAGATGTAAACATGTCCATGTCCGATAGCCATGTCACATATGCACACAGCACATACATACACAGATAACAGAAAACATGCATAGGGTGTGCACACATCCATCCTATACACCCATGGACACCTCTACCCACATGTACATTCAGATACCACATATACGTAAACGCGATACATATACAGATATGTAAAATGAGGGGGGCATGACTACCGATTATGCCAATGCTGTTATACTTCTTTTTTTCCTGGTTTCACTAGGGAGCAGATGGCCCAAAGACTGTCAGCATTTTCCTTTCTCAAAATATAAATGCAAGCTGGTCATAGTGGCTCATTCCTGTAATCCCAGCACTTGGGAGGTGGAAGCAGAAGGACCAGGAACTCAAGGTCATCCTTGACTATAAAGGAAGTTCTAGTCCAGATGGCTTACAGGAGACGCTATCTCAGCAACAAACACAGAAAACCGAACAAATAAACGAAAAGTAATAAAAAGATGCAGCTTCGAGCAAGGCCTTGTTAACCCAAGAGATCTTTTAATAAAATTTCAGTTTTCTATGAGTAATACAGTCTCCTTTCATGGATCTCATCCGAGTCATTTATTAAGCCTTCTAAAAAGGGAGAAAGGACCAGTGTCTGGGGCACACACTTCTAACGTGTGCTTATAGATCTGGCAGGAGATTCTTGCATGGACTATTACTGCCAGGGCAAAAGAAGCTGTGTAGACATTAAAGATTATATCCCACAGTGAAGAGCCTGATTTGAGACCCCAGGAGCTTTGCTACATGACTGTTTTCAAGGGCAGCTCTGTGAGGTTGAAGGCAGAATGAGTATGCAGCTAATTTTGTCTGGTCCCTGCTGGAGCTTTGTTGGAACAGGTTACTGGATCCTAGTCGATCAGCTACAAGGGCCATCTTGTCTCTCTTCTTAGGCTTCTGAAGCATCTTCATTAGCAAGTACTGTTTAGAAGGATTTGCATTTTGAGGGATAGGCATAAGGACTTCCCAAGTTAGCTGGAGGCAGAATGTCAAGTCTCTCAATTCAGGAAAAGAACTGGGAGAAGAGAGTCAGGGTCAGGAGTGTCTTAGTGTATCAAGAGCAATGAGCAAAGCTGTAGTAACCTTGAGCATATGTCTGTCCTTTTTTCTCCCCAAATTCAGTTCAGGATAAGTTCATACAAATAGCCAACGTGAATTCTGCACACAAGACAAAGGTCAACCCTCTCACTTGGATTCAGAAACTGTCATGCTCAGAAAATGAGTTGTGTGTACCCAGGTTGCAGAATGCCATAGGAAGCCAACTGGGTACATTTGTGGACAACACACAAGGCAACAAGGAGCCCAGGACAAAAGGAATCAGAAGCAGGTAGGCTTTGTCTTTCTTTGGAGCCCAGAGAACCAGGCATGCAATGCAGTGGAACCATCTGTACCTGACACTTTAAACTCTGTGAACTTTGATGCTCAAGAATGTGTATATTCATTGGGTTTCTATTATCTTGACCCAGAGATGGAATGTATACCACTATGCTTAAGCCAATAGCCATAGAGCCAGATGCCGCTTCCATACCCTTCTGTTCACACCTTCTGGCAGAGAAAGAGCTAGGTGGTGACAGGAAGGTAAAATTAGCAAATGCCAATAATCACCATTGGGCTACCATAACCCACGTCCTGCTCTTGGCTCTTGGTCCCAAACTAACTTAACCCACATGACTCTGTGAAGCTGTTCGTGTCATGATTCCTATTTTCCGGAAGGGGAAACTCAAGGGCTAGCACTTAAAGCCAGCAGCCCATTCGGGAGACTGTATTCATAGCCCTGACATGCTGCACTTTCCAGGTCCACAGCTTGTCATTTAAGTTTGCAAATGAGAGCAGGGAGCCCATAATGCTGCATTCCATTGTAAAACAATGATCCATGCATTTAAAAATAGCCTAGAACTTGGATTACACTTACAAGGCAAGTTTCATAAATAGCATAGATTCCCAGGCTGTGTACTGAGAAGGGGGTGGCAGGATCTGCTTTGGGGGAAGATGAGTTATACATCTGCTTTAGCAGGAGGAAACAGATGATTTATTTGAGCTGAAATGCATGCATATACACTGACACCATAAAGTAATGCTTAGAAAACGGTTGCCCCAACTCTGCTCTTGCAAATGCACCTCACCATGAAGTACAAAATCAATCAATAATGAAGCAGACCCATTCTGAGTCTCCATGGCAAAGCACCCCAAGAACAGTGGCAGAGACCAGCAACCATCTTGTTGTTCTGCTTTATAACTTTATGGGTTAGAAAAGGAGGCCGAATTCTCTTTTGTGTGGCATTGAGGCCATGATAGTCATCAGCAGATGCCCTCTGTATGGAGATGGCTTCACGTTGGCACCCTCTCCCTCCTTGGCTGCCTTAGGCTCTTTCCATACTGCAGCTCTAGCAAGGGTTTTCACTGCTGCTCTGGGTTCCAAGAACTTGGGAAGAGCTTGCCAATGGTCACAATGTGTATCCCAGAGCAAACGTGTCCTAACTTCTGCCACCTCTCTTGGGTTCAAAGGGAATAGAAACAGGCATCATCTCAATGTGACAGTGTCAATGGGTTTGTGGCCATCTTTTACCTGTCACCCTTTGGTTCAAAGTACTTCCTAGCACTTTGTTGTTTACAAGCAGAAGCAGGACTGGCAAGAGTTAGCAGCCATGCCTAACAACACAAGTTCTGTTCCTGGTACTCACATAGTGGACGGAAACCAACTCCTGAAAGCTGTCCACTGTCCACTGACCTTTACACACACCATAGCATATGTGTGTGTACACACATAACACACACACATACACACACACACACACACACACAGAGAGAGAGAGAGAGAGAGAGAGAGAGAGAGAGAGAGAGTATAATTTAAAATGTAAATTAAATGCAGAAGTAACTATGACCCATTCCAGGCCATTGTGCTAGTTTTCTGTTGCTATAACAAAATACCCCATGCAGTAAACTTAAAAAGAGGTAAGGTTAATTTTGGTTCACAGTTTCATAGTCAACTGGCCCCACTGACTTTTGGACCTGTTTTGAAGCAAGATGTAACGGCAGGGGTATGTGGTGAAGGAAGTCCATTTGTTTCTGGTGAGTAAAGAAGGAAATTCTCCACTTCCTTCCAAGAGGAAGTGGGATTGTAACTATCTCATGCCTCTAAAGACTTCTGTTAATGTTTGGATATTAAGTGTCTTTTTAAAAAGCTCATATACTGAAAGTGTAGTTCCTGCTTGGTGGCATTGTTTTGGGAAATGCTGAAAACTGGAAGGCATGTGATTTAGGTAGAAGGAAGTCAGTGGGGGCAGGTCCTTAGGAGTCCCCCCCCACTTCCAGTTCCTGTCTGCATAAAGTGAGCACCCTCTGCCACATGTCTCCATGACACTCTCATTACCTGGCTCCAGATTCAGTGCTGTCAAGGGCTATGGCTTGAAGCGCCTCACTGGGAGCCAAAATACTCCTCCATTGCTTCTTCTATTGGGTATCTTACATCACAGCAACACAAGTCTGGCTAAGATAATCTCTTGCCAAGCCTTACCTCTGAAAGGTTCTACTTTCCAACAGACCCACAGCAGCCTTTTAACTACACATGGACTCTGGAGAGCACTTATTCAAACCATAGCAACCATCTTAAGAAATATCTCCATAGCATGGCAGCCATTTTAAAAACAGTCGGGCTTGAGAAGTGTCCTGACAGGCACCTACATGAGAGAGCCTTTGCACCATTACCTGGTAGCTTGCCTCTAACAGGAAGCTGAACTGGATTCCTCCATCAGCCCTACTCTTTCTCTATCTCATGTTTGCCTTCGTATTGCTTTATAAATGACCAACACAGTCCCTAACATGTCAGAGGAGGTTATCGGTAACTTTTAGGCAAACTCAGAAATGGCAGGACTTGTCTGAGTCTTTGGCCATTTGGAACTTCCCCAAGAAATACAACAGGAACTCATGCCTTGGGGCAGGTGAGGTTTATGGTGATGAGGCTGGGAAGGCGTGAGCAAGGGAAGAAGAAGCATTAATCCAGGATGTGGGTCATAGAAGAGCTACTGGGGCTGCTCAGGGCTCAGTTCTAGCTCAAGTCTTTGAGCACTTGCCCTAAACTCTAGAGATAGGGAGGAACCTGTGTCTTCTTATTGTGGTCAAGATGGGTTAAAAGCCTAAGACATGCATAGATACAGCAAGATAATGTGTGGGGGGAGATGTCAAGTCTTGATTGGCAGGTAGGATTTGTGCTCAGGGAAGAAATGACGTGGGCAAGCCTATAAGTCTAACTGGAACAGTTTCTTAAGCACTTCCCTCATTCCTGTCCTGGGGGGGGGAGGTGCTGAGGACTCAGTATTTGCAGCACAGACATGCTCCATGCCTCCTGGTGCTCACAGGTAGCCAGAAGTGGCCAGGTAAGATCATGTGGGAAAGAGCAGGTCACGCTGATGGCTTAGTGTTTGAGAGATACAGGCTAGACTCAGAGTGGGAAGGGCAGGCAGCCTGTGGCCTTGACCCTGAGGGGACGCCTGATCACCAGCGCCATTCATAGAAGCTGTTTACACAGAGCTTCTTACTACAGAGCTGTTGGCTACCTTCCTCGCTTCACTTCTCTGAAGCCTTTCCTTGCCTGCCCAGAAAAGGGCTGGCTCCTGAACTACATTGGCTCCATTTAGGACAACCCTTCCCTGTGTCTACGCACCCCAACAAGCACATGCTCACATCCGTCTGCTCTAAGCACAGAGACTCCCAAGAATAGCAATGCATCAGTTGTATCCTCAGTTCTGAAGCTAGAATGTGGAAGTTGTCAGTAAATGGACAAGAGAGGTTGGCATTTTGAGGAAACACACACACACACACACACACACACACACACACACACACACTCTTTAATTGTGGTAAAATACACAAGGCATAAATGTATCATCATAATCATTTTATGCTTGCTAGTTTGTTGTCTAAGAAAGAGGCATTTGGTACATTCACATTGTTGTTGGGCCTCACCATCCTTCCTAGTGCTCTTCATCTTCCTGTGTAGAAAACCACCCTCCCTCAGCACCCCCTCCCACTTGGGCCTTTCCCTAACCCAGCCCTTGGCATCCACTATCTATTTTCAGCCTGTGAATGTGACTCTTGTAAGTTCTTCATGTAATAACTGACTCATACACGACTTGTCTTTTTCTGGCCAACAGTAAATGGATTTTGAACAATTGAGAGCTAGTTCCCGGGTGGCCCTGATGACGTGAGCCGCAGAAACCCATGCCAGATAAAGCCTCTGCTGTTCTTCAAAGGGAACCCAGAGACACTACATTCTGAAGCTTCTCCCACATCCTTCCTGAGTGTTGGGAGTTTTTTCCTTTCCTTGAGCTTGTGCGATTCTGCCTCTGTCTCTCTTCCTGGGCACTTCAGTGGGCTTGGGAGGCTGATGCTCCATAAAGCTCCCAGAGGCCTGGTACCTCTCTGACTCAGATGGTTCCTTGCTGGTCCAGGCCTGACCCCTAGTGGGTTTTTTGTCAAATTGGGTTGGGCTTGCTACCAGACCGGATGCAAAAGGGGAGTGGATACAGAATGAGGCTCCTCCGTGCTCCGAAAGTGCTACTATGCTCTGCTCCCATGACAAGCTCTGTCTCCCAACACTGGGGACCCTGAGAGGGTTCATAGACAGCTGGCTGCACCAGCAGGCCCTGCGGATGTCCAGTTGTCTAACCGGTGTGGTAAGGGTAACCTCCCAGGTGTTGGGGGCAGGCTGGATGACCCTGCTGTGGTGGTTGGCTGTCCTGGAGGCCCAAAGATGGCTGTTTCCAGAGCTCTGAGCACACACATATTGGCGTCTGTTCTTAGATTCTCCACAATCCTTCTTTGTGAGCGTGTTTTTGAGGTGACCTTGGGTCATTTGACTCATTTCTGTCTACTATCTAGAACAGTCTTTGCTTACTGAAACATTGCTTTCTTTTGCTATATATTTATATGTATATGTGTATATATATATATATATACATATTTATATTTTTAAAACTGACAGCAAGGCCAGCAAGGCTGAATACCTTAAAAGGAGGAAAGGGTATGGATAGCTCACATCTCAAAAAACTGAGCATCCAAACAGCATGACGCTGGCTCTGCTGGACCCTTCATTCCCAGTCTTACCCCTGCTGCTACTTTATCTCGTGGCAGATGTCTTTCTGTTAAACCCAGTGGAAAGACAGGGCCATGGGTCAGGCCAGTCTTGCTCTTTTATAACAACTATCTCAGAGAACTAACTGGGGTCCTATAGGAACTGATTGGTCCCTTCTAAGGAGGGAATGAATCTCCAGTGACCTAATTGTATCTCACTAGGCCCCTCAACTTAAAATTCCCAATATCACCTCACAGAGCACCAAACTTGCAACAGTTGAACCCTTGAGCCCTTGGGGGACAAAAGACATCAAAAATGGGGTTCTGGAGCAGCTGCATATGCAGACTAAGGAGGACAGTGGAGGTTGGTATGGCATCTGGGTTATCATGATGAGCCCTCTGGGACAGAGACACGGACGCCATTCCTGCTTGTGCTGTCCTCCTCACTAGACCAGCCTGCGGTGGCATCTGTCTAGGGATCTTCTGAATCTCTGGGCAGAAAGCTGCCTTCTTCAGGCCACACTAACAAAGAGACAAAAAGTCCCTCCCAGGAGCACCAACCTTACTGTCTCATGTTTCCCCTCAGTCCTTACACCGGCCGAGAGCAGCTGAACAGCATCAGTATGATACAGAAGCCACCTCATATTCTCTCTGGGATACCTCCTCAGAGCATATGCACAGGTATGGACCAAAGCCCGGCCAGGTGCAGGGAAGGGAGCCTTACCTATTTCACTTCTTTTCAAACCACTACTTTAGCTTGTTTCCCAAAGAAAGCTCACAATCGTTTCACTTTAAAAATTATTTTCAACACTTCTTGGATTTGAGAAGACCTCTCGTGGTCAACATCTGGCCTTGGGTGGTGCCGCCAGGCACAGGTGTGCTCCTGGCGAGGGAAGATGTAAATTGATTATTAATCAGTTGGCGCTTGGTCACCAGTGTGTGTGGGTTCCCATTGGAACTGTAACAGAAATCCTACCCCAAGACTCCAGCTTTCTAGAAACACCTTGAGGCTTCTCCTTTGGGTCTCATCCAGACACAAGCTTGGGAAGTATTCCAGGCCACACAGGCTGGGCTGTCAACCCCTGTACGTTGGTGACTGGGAGAGACCCATGTTAGCTTTTCTTTATTAGAAAATAAATTTTGTTAGGAGTCAGTTTATAAAGAGGGAAGATGGAAAGACAGAGGCAGGAGGATCTCTGTGAGTTTGAGGCAAACCTGGTTTACATATCAAGTTCTGGCCCAGCCAGGGCTACCTGGTAAGACCCTGTCTTAAAACAAAAGCAAAAGGGAAGAAAGGTTTATTTTTACCCATGATTTTCGAGGTACCAGTCCTGGTTGTTGGACCCTGTTGCTTTGGGCCTGTGATGGCAGAGTGTATCAAAGTAGGAGTAGATGATGGAGGAAGCCTGTTCACTCATGAGAGTCAGGAAGCAGATAGAGAAACAAAGACTTCTGTTGAATAGCCCCTTCAAGACCACACAAGCAAGGTAATGACTCTATTTCTGCATACCTTTAAGGCCCCCTCCCCCCACTTACAGGTGGTGCTACCTCCAGAAGCAACACACAGTGGCAACAAGCTTTCAACACATGGTCCTTTTGGGGACATTCAAGATCAAGCTATGGCAAGATTCAGAGAAGGAGACTTTGATGTTGCATCTCTGTGTTTCTGTTTCACTTGTCACTGGCAGGAATATACGTCCCCCCACCCCTGGCAGCTTACTCTCTATCTTGTCTCAAGACCAGTACAGGAAACAGATGTTAGGTGACTATTGTGGCACATGTCTATAAGCCAAGTGCCTTGAATGCAGAGGCAGGGCAATCAAGAGTTGAAGCCACTGTTGGATTTATAGTGAGTTTGAGGCACTGTGCACAGCATTGAGAGATCATGTCTACCATCTCTAGCACCAGGGGATGGGGGGAGAGTTATGATAAATCACACAGAAAATGGGCACCATCAGCCACCCTGCCATGGTCTCTGCTTTTCCAACTCAATCTTGACTAACAGTGGTCCAGTTGTGGCTCAATGAATATATACTCAGTGACCTGATCCCAGGTTGACAGGACATTTGCTGTGACTTGCTCCTGCTTCTGTGTGTGTGCGTTTTGTTAGGTTCCACCTGCTTTGGGAGGAAAACTCAAATATGCTGCTTTGATTCTGCACCCAGGGTCACAGACGAGCAGAAGGAAGAGTTTTACGGAAGAACCCAACCAAGACATTGTGTGTGTGACACTGAAGCGGGACCCACGTCGTGGTTTTGGTAAGACAGCTCTCTGAAGGTGAGGCCCAGACTCTGCTCAGCAGAGGGAGAACAGGCACCATTCTTCCCTTCAACTTTTCCACTTCCCCAGTCTGGCCTCTTCTCTCCTATCTTGTGTTCTTCAACAATCTCTTCCACAAAAAGAACACTAAGATGTTTGGGACAAAGAATTCCTTGCAGGCATCTAAGCACAAGATTCCATCTTCCACACACACACACAGACCTTGGACCAACCTTTCTCTAGTTCTTAGTTACATAGAGGAGTAGCCAGTCTTTCTTACCAATTATTAATCACAATTGAAAATCTTAACATCATGCAGGAAAAAAGGATATAGAGACAGGGTATTTGGTTAGAAATTATATTTCACAGGACTGGGGAGGTGGCTCAGTTTATGAAATGTTCGCCATGCAAATGTGAAACCAGAATTCAGATCCCCAACACCCATATAAGAAAAAGTTGGGTGTATGTGGTATTATGTGTGTAATCCTGGCACTCGGAAATCTGGGATTCCTCTAGTTAGCTGGCTAATTAGACTGAATCTGAGAGCTTTGCATTTGATGAGAGACTGCCTCAACAAATAAAGTGGTGAGCTGAAGCCCACATGACAGCTTACAACCATGACTCCAGTCTTAGGGGATCCGATACCTTCTGTCATTACCATACTTCCCCAGGCGTTACACACATGTGGTACCAAATCATATATGCAAGCAAAACACGCATAAACATATAAGAAAAAAATGTACAAAGTAATGAAGTAGAGAGCAATCCAGGAAGACATCCAATGTAAAACTCTGAAGCTCCACATGCACATGCAAACACATGCATGTGAATCTACATGCATGTGAAATACACACACAGAAGGCTGTGGGCAAGCCCTGACTCCTGTCACCAAGCCAGCTCATGTGGGTAGGCTGCATTTCTAGCATTAGCTGTGGGTGTAAGAGGGAGCACTCCGCTTTCCCCAGGCATCTTTCTCAGGTGCAGTTATCAACACTTGGTAGCTACGTGGGCTGCAAAGTCATTAAATATCATCTTACCATCAATGCCATCTTGGATTACAGGTTTTGTCATTAATGAGGGAGAAGATCTTGACCAAGCAAAGCCTGGCATCTTCATATCTTCTCTTATACCTGGGGGACCAGCAGAAAAAGCTAAAAAGATCAAACCAGGTACACCCTAAGTCAAATTACCAGATATGCTTTAAGGTACCACCTTTCTTATTTCCTGGCTGGGGTTATTGCATGTTTTTGTTTGTTTGTTTGTTTGTTTTTCTCCAGGAAGCAAGATACTAGCCTTGAATCACATCAGCCTGGAGGGTTTCACGTTCAACATGGCTGTTAGAATGATTCAGAATTCTCCTGACAACATAGAATTAATCATTTCTCAATCAAAAGGTATGTTTCATCTTACTTTTGGCAATGGAACCGTCTCCTCTGCTATCACCACGAGCACAGACCACAAAGCTCCATGTGGGTCTTCTGTGTTGCTCTGGGAAAGCAGGGTCATGGCTTGCAAGGAGGCAACACGGTGGCACCAATCACTGTGCTGTGCAATCACAGAGGCAGAGTGGGTCCCAGAATTGCATGTCTCCCTGCAAGATAACAGCCTCCTCATTAAGTATGGCTGCCTACACCCAGCATATTTGTGTTTCTGTCTACTCTTCTTGCATGACAGGGAGGGACTTCTTATTGACACTCAAGTTCAAGATTTCTACAGCTGGCATAAGGTCGAGCAGTCACCTATGCAGCTGGGAAGGGCAGTGGACTGGTCTTTAGTCTGCTTCTGCACCGTAGACACAGTATTCTTACTTGTCTAGTTACAGGTCAACCCCTGAAGTCTTTGTTGGGTTAGGGTTGTTTACTTCATCTTTTAACTTCAGAACAGCAGCTAAGCAACAAATGCATAGGCAAAAGGACAATATTATGTTTACTTGGGGCATTTTGGTAGGGTTCTTGATAGAGGGAATGGAGGGAGTGTGGTTACTAAGGACTGCCCATTGGATCCTTCCTCTCACCCTGGTTACTAAGGACCACTGATGCGTTTGGGTTGGGTGATTTTGTAAATTACATGAGGTAGCCTGTAAACTCAGGCTCATCTCTAAATGCACATCTCCCACGTGCTGTACCCTTGGAAAAGCTGTCTCACACTTGCACATGCTGTCACCAGGTAGCTTTTTCTCTTTCACCTTCACTGCAGGTAGCGGCAGTAGGGTCTTCCACAATGCCCCAGGGGCCAGCCCCAGCACTCCCATCATGCTAGCCTCAAGATCACTGCCTCTGTTGGATGTAACAGCACCGACAGCTCTTTCTGAGGCAGGTCAGTAATCTGCCTTTTCCTCTCACCTTCTTCTCTTTGAGGGCGTTCGTTCACTTCTTGTGTTGCAATGGTACCAGGGGATCAAATCACAATTCAGTGAAGTCCAAGGACAGCCTACTACAATGGTCGAGACGTTAAAAATTGCTATCCAAAATCTACAGTGCTCTAACCATAGTCTTGTATTAGCATTTCCGTGTGCTCACTGTCTGGGAGTTACATGCCATCTCCCTGTGGTGGCCCAGTTATTTGTTGGGAACATGACTTTGCCACAGTTGTTATTTCTTTTGAGCTCGTCCATTGGTGGGGCTAGAGGACCAGTGATGGTCTCCTGTTAGGCAGCTATTCTAGAGCAGACATTAGAAGTCATCAGCTAACAGCTGTTATGAGCAGCTATGAAAATTTGTTGTAAACTGAGTGGGTAGGCACTCACAGAAGGTCAGGGTTCTCTAAAGGAATGGAAATGATAGAATGACTATATGTTACAAAAGAGGATTGTTTTCAGATGGGCTTGAGTGATGCAGGATAAGTTGGACAGCAGTGGCCGTCTGCCCTCTGCAGAGGCTGAGGACAGTAGCTGCTTAGTCCACAAGGCTGGAGATCTCAGGTGTTCTGCTTGGCACTGGAGGATTCCTGGGAAGCTGCTGGTCCTCAGTTCACACTGCAGAGCTGAGGACAGATACTCAGAAACAAGAAAAGATGGTCCAGCAAACGAGCAATGCTGCTTTCCCTTGCAAGGTCAGAAGGCACTATGCACTCTGAGTAAAGGCTTCCCTCTCAGCTAATCATTCCTGGAAATGCCTTTACTGACCTGCCCAGAGATACATCTCCTAGATGATTCTAGATCCTATCAAGTTGTCAATCACGATTAAACATGACTCCCAGCTTAGCCTTCTGTTACAAAGGGCACAGTGGGACAGTCTGGCTTTTCAGGTCTAAAGTCCTATCCTCTGCTCTCATGAAGGGCGTGGAAGAAAGGGAGCAGAAGTTTACAGTATTGCCAAAGTCCAGTCTACAATGCACCGAGAAAAATGATCTTGAACATGGCATCATAGATTGGACTGGTACCTTCCTCACTCGCTGCATACATACCAAGTAGCCTTAAATTTGGATTGCTCAAGGCCAAATTTATTAAATCAAACTGTTCCAATATATAAGCACGTGCGCTTCCCTGGATGCTAGTAATAGTAAGCTGTAGCAAAGCAGCGTTCCCACTTCCAGGTCTAAAGAAACTCTATTATGCCTATTAAATAAACTCTATTATTAGTATTTTCTCTAATCCTCCTGTGCTGAAACATTGATATTGAATTAGCACATTAACAGTAAATGTATTTGCTGATATATATGTGCCAATCTACATATGTAGGAGAGTATGAATGTATGTGCACACATAACTTTGTGTATATATATATATATATATATATATATATATATGCCTCAGTCTATAAATAATCTGTTTCACTAATCCTACAATGTTATGCTACTGACATAGCTATTTTAGATATAAAGAAATTGAAGGCCAGAAATGTTAGTTACCTTACTCAAAGTTCTACCTGTTGATCCATATCTTACAGTTTTTGATTTGGTCTTTGCTGATTGGAGTAAGCAGGAATTCTTAGAGGAGCCCAGAGCCCGGTATTACCACGTATACCTCAAGGATGCTACATGGTGGTCTCTGTATCACATGCTGGTGATAGCTGGGCTTCACATGTTTTTGTCAAAGGTCACGTTAAATATGGGATTTGGGACAAACTAGTTCATCTTTTTTATTGTTTTAATTGATTGATTGATTGATTAGTTAAGCTGATTCTAATTAAGCTGAGGTGACACTTTTCTGGTAACCTATTGAGAAATGGCAGTAAATTAATAAAGAGGAGCTGGCATTCTTCACTATTCTTGCTCCCATGTTTTCATAACGGTCACACAAGTGACTTCTATTCAAGTTTCTGATCACATCTAGAACCTTCTCTTTCTCTATTCCAGGTGCAGTGTTCTTCACAAAATGCTGAATTCACAGCATCCTCTGCAACTCTAAAAGTACTGTCTGTCAGTCCAGGAGAACTCTGTGTCTTATCCAGCCTTTCCAAACATTGACTTGTTTTTCATAGGTGCTTGTGGAAATATCCCCGCTGATGAAAAGAACAGCACATCAAGTTCTGGCATGCTATGTACAGACATCCTGAGCAACGGGCACCTGGGAAGACAGTCAGCACACACACATGACCAAGGAAGAAATGTCAGAGGACCGGAAATGGCTCAGGTGCAGTGCTCAGCACCCAGGCAGGGCCCTCCACCCTTCCCTCTATCACTGAAGATGCATATTCTCTAGTCTACACTCTACTATCTAAAGAAAGAGCATAGGCTGTGGAGTCCAGCGGTGCTCCCTTATCCCGTGTTATTCTGTGCTCTTGATGAGCCATGTCAAGCAGCTACAAGCTGGTAACATGGGGCTTTTCTGCAAGCTGGCTTTAGGGGCAGTTGGGAGGGGCCTGAACAGCTACAGGACCTATATCATCCAGGTTTTTTCATATCAGGTGTCCAGCTTTGTGGCCAGGTAACCACTGGCACAGTGGCTGTTATGTTCCCACTTATGATGTCATCCATGATAGTTGTTTCGTTCCTCAAGTTTTCGTGGTTAGTCTAAACACCTTGCCAAATCAAGGAGTGTGGAGTCTTTGGAAGAACCGGCACATTCTCTGTTACATACCGATCTCTTTAGAAGCTCTTCTGTTGAAATTATGAGTTTTAGTTTACTTTACCTTTTTTATTTTTCCATGAGTTGATAGTATTTTCCAACATATACCAGGAATCTCAAAGCAAAGAAAGACTAGGGACAGTGGGTTCTGGTTAGTAAGGGGACATTTTCTATCTAGTAGCAATGGTCCATCAGCTCAGTACACCTTGTCAGAATTCAGATGTGCCCTTGGGCTTATGCTTCAGGCAGACCTGGCTCTGCATTTCATTTCTTCCCCGTACTAGCTTTATCTCTGACAGTCCCTTCATCATATCACATGAACTTATTATCACACGTGTTCTTGGTTATCTGATTGGGAATCTCCTTGCTGAAAGCCTCGAGCGCCTTAGACTGCAATTCAACACAGGCAGCCGAGTCTTCTCATGGTGTCCAGCAGCTTGCGTAGTGCCATGTCGTTACTGCCCTTTCCATTTCCCTAACAGAACGGGCGAAGTACAAACAATGGTTTATTTGGTGACTGGGAAGTTCCAGGTCGAGGAGCCACATCTGGTAAAGGTTATTGTGTTGTGTCATGCTGCGGCAGCAGGAGGCATGACAGGGGGAGAGCATCCAAGAGTATGATAGATAGAAAGAGGAAATGGAGACAAACATCTCCTTTTTATACCCATTCCACTCCTACAGCAATACATTCATGAGACTTGTGCCTTCATACGCAAGTTTCACCTTTTAATACTTTACTGTTAGTAATCAAATTTAAGGATGCATTTTGGAGGAGATGTTCAAACCACAGCATCCTGGACATAATAGGTGCTCAATAAATGTCTTATGAATAGTTGAATGGATAAACAAATCTAAGATATATATTGTCACAAGTACAAAAGGAATTGCTTAGTACATGGTATAATCTTTTTCACAAGGCCTTCAACCATTGAAAAATTTATCATATCATGAACAGTCTTGTTAGGAATGGTTGGAAGTTCTGAGGTTTGCTTTTGCCTCAAGAAGTTTCTGTGTGTTTGGTAGCCAGTGTGCTGTGCTTGGCTGGCACCATGTGTTGAGTGATCCAGGAAGTTACCTAACAGCTTCAGGTCTAACATGGATGTTTTCAATGGGAGTGCACACAGGAGGACTCTGCATTTTAGTCCCTGGCATGTACTGGCACATTCATAGTTACAGTTAGGAGACCAGTTATGTGGAATAGGAAATGGAGGTTAGAGGGCCTGAGAGAGTTCCATATGCTCACCTGTGAAGGAATTGATGAGGCTGCAGATGTCTCTCCAGGCTCATGCTCTTTCTGGGTGCAAGGCTGCTAGCTTCTAGTCATGCATGAAAGCTGAATATCTGCAGCTGTAGGGAAGGTGCCTCATGGCTTTGTCTTGTTTGTTTGTTTGTGGCAGGGTGCTGGTTCTTGTCCTCCATCACCTCCAGAAACCAATGCTGGTGAAATCTACTTTGTGGAGCTGATTAAAGAAGATGGAACACTTGGATTCAGCGTGACTGTAAGACTTTTCACCAAACTTGGAAAGCAGTACAGCAGTATCCACTCAGAACCTTGGAGGACCTTCTCTCTGGCAATGTGCTCATGTGCTTCAGTGCACATTATATGTAAGGGGTAAACTGAGCTTTCTGTGGGGAGTGAGAACCCAAAGATAAATTCTGAGATGCAGAGCAACTTGAGGTCGGGCTGTGGGCAGGTTCTAAGGAACGGCAATGGCAGAAGGAGCTAATACAAAAGAGACTGGGTGAATTAGTCTGGCTCCAAGCTTGAGCTGGACAGTAAGAAGATGCCAGTAAGGTAGAGTTCATGGATCGAAGCCAAAGGTGAGTGCCATCCCAAGCGGGGTTGAAATAGGCTCTGTCCTCCAGGGGCCAGGACAAAGTTCATCTTTGAGGTCTTTACCATGCCTGACACTTTGCAGGATTTTGCACTCTGCCTGGCAGATATCTAAGAAGAGACATTCCCCATGCAACTAACTACCCAAGGGTATGGGGAAATGGTGTCCACAAAGGGGGTGCACACAAATTTGGAGGTCCTGGTTTGAAAGGCATTGTTTGTATCAGTGAACACTGAGTATGAATCATTACTTAAAGACCTTGGGTTAGGGCTGGACTTCAGTGATGGCATGGTTGGATCTCCCAGCAATGCAAGGAAATGTCAACAGCTCTGAAAAATTTCCCAGGTAACCCAAGTGATGAGTAATGAAATATGCTTTATTTCCCTTGTGTGTCTAGAGCAAGGAGCCTTGAATTGCTGAACCACCAGTGGATGATTTTTAAAATTTATTTACGTTCATTTTATGTGCATTGGTATTTGCCTATATGTATGTCTGTGTAAGGGTGTCAGATCTTGGAGTTATAGACAGTTGTGAGCTGCCATGTGGTGCTGGGAGTTAAACCCAGATCCTCTGGAAAAGAAGTCAGTGCCCTTAACCACTGAGCCATCTCTTCAATCCCAGCGGATGATTTTTAACACCAGGAAATAAGGCTCTTGAACCCATAGGGACTGAACAGGCTGGGACTAAGTGCGGTCAGCTTATTCTTGGCTTGATAAAACAATCCTATCACACGACACCAAATGCAGCCCTTTCTCATCTAAAAAACTTGCTAAAAATTTAGATTATTCAGATATATGCATACGCATATGTCAAGAGGAGACTGGTGATTTCTTTTGACTAGCAAAAACACTGATTTTTTTTCCCCCTTTGGAGAATTTTCATTTCAAAAATAATTATTGAAACACCTTGCTTAAATCCAAATGGCCATTAAACAAATAGAAGACATTCAAACCCATGAAAAGCTACTGGAGTGTAAAAGTAAGTTAAAGGGAAACTTCAGAGTGTATAGCTGTCAGCTTGGCTAAATATAGCTGGTGTGATACAGAAAAGGGTACTGTCACGCTGCGCTGGTAGAAATGTGAATAATCACATGCACATTCCCACTGGGATACAAGCTGGCAATACCTGCTGGAATGAAAAAGTGCACACATCCCTGGGCCACGGACATAGAAATGTAGATCGCACCAAGTAAGTGCTTGTGAAGGTGGTGAATGTTGTGTTGCTAACAGTGACAGGTGCATTGAAGAAAATGAGTATAGATCAATTGAGGAAAAGTTGCATGCACTCTGGCACTCATGCGTAGAAACCAGGTTGAGGTCCCTAGGACAAATGAATGAATCAGCACTAGCTCCGCCCACATGGAGGGTAGCTCACAGGCCCTTTTCTGGTGGCTGGCTGTTTTGAAGTTTTGTGTTAGCATTGCTAAAAACGTAGTTTCGGAGGAATCTTGAGTCTGTTGCATAGACTTGCATCAGACTTAGCCCATAGCGTCTGTTAATTAGCTTTCCGTCACCACTCTAACAAACAGCAGAAATATAATCAAATCACAAAGTGAAGAGGTTCCTTATGGCCTGCAGTTTTGGAGGTTTCCATCCATGGCTGGCAGGTTTTGCTGTCTCGGGGCTGTGGTAGCATATCCTGATAGAAGAATGGGCTAGGTAAAGCTGCTTCCTCATGGTCAGGAAGTGAAGGAAAGGGGAAGAATGGGGTCTCAAAATCCTCTTCAAGTGCTCACTCCTGTGACCTAAAGACCTTCCATGATGCTCCACCACTTAGAGGTTCCACACCTTCCAATGGCAATGGGCCAGGCATTAAGCTTTAGCAACAGGCCTTTGAGGGACAGTCAAGATTCAAACTAAACAGGCTCATTCAGCTGACTGGCTCTGCTGTCCATTTTGAACTCTATATGATTATACGAGTATAGTTAAGAGAGGTGTATGAGCACATACATATTATTACTGTGTTGTTAGTAGTGGAGTGGGAAGTAGAGGCAAGGAAGGAGTAAAAGACTGAACAAGAATGAGAAATATCGTTGACAAAATATCCACCTGTATATGTATGTCTACCTATGTAAAGTGAACTGGAAAAAAGAGGCAGCCTCGGGTCTTGATCTTTTGACCTGCACATTCTTGCTTTATTGGCAATTAATAAAAATAAGTACAGAGGGTGGTACATGCCTGTAACCCTACAATTTTGGAGGCAGGAGATAACCTGGGTTCATAGAACCTAGCCTGGGCTACATCAAACCAAACCAAACCAAACCAAACCAAACCAAACCAAACCAAACCAAACCAAACCAAACCAAACCAGAGTAGTTCAAACTTATTTTTACTCCTGACTTTGTATCCATAAACAAACACGCAAGCCAAACACAAGTCCCAAGTCCTTAGGGCAAGCCTACCTGTGCTGCTTGTTGCCTAGACAGATTTTGTGCACCACACAGGACTCTGGTTACAGAACACATGCCATGAGCCAGCTGGGGCTTGGTTTGGCCTGGCTTTGCCGCTCAGCCTGTATTGTTATGGTCTGTGTAAACCTGACCTTGCTCACCAGAGAAGAGGGTTTATCTGGACGAATGCAGAAACCTGTCAGCGTGGGATAGATTGTAGTTGGCAGAGGCTGGTTCTCCATTGAGGGAGGTTGGGAGGCACCCAAGAATGGAAGGATGGGTTTTGAGTAGGGCTTTGTGTTTTATAGGGCGGCATTAATACAACTGTACCGCATGGAGGAATCTATGTGAAATCCATCATTCCTGGAGGCCCAGCTGCCAAGGAAGGACAGATCCTACAGGGTAAGAGCCACATCATGCTGGGAATTCTGCTTCCTCTGGCTTTGAATCCTGGCTGAGAGGAGCAGCTCAGGCCTTGCTCATTTCAGCTCTAACATCTTCTGTCCCTCTAGGATCTGATTTCTTTGCCTGGGGAAGGGAGGGCTTGCCTGCTTCACTCACCTGAGAAGTTGGCAGTGGTCTAAAGTTTATAATAAAAATTGGGTAGGAAGGTTAAGAGGAGCTGCCTGCTGGGAGAGAGTATTTATTCCTTAGGAAGACAGGGATGGAATTAGTGACCACATCAGAGCCCGGCGGGCGTCATGAGCTATGAGCTTCCTCTCTGCCCTCCTCTAGAAAACAGACTTTGTATTGATGACCCCAGGTTAGCACAGGGCCCTGTGAGACTTCTCTCTGTCCTGAATCATTTCTCAGTGCTCTGAAGGAACAGAGTGGGTTCTATTCTCCTCTGAAACTACCCTAATTGAACAACTAAGATGCCAGAGATATTTATTTCAGTTTCCTCTTGAATTTGAGTATTTTTAACATCAACTATTGTCTTCCTCACCCCCCTTTTTGAAATAGAAAATATAACTATTACCCTGAGCGAGTTGAAATGTTTTAAAAAATAGTTTTACAGGAAAGCAGGAGGAAAGAGAAAGGTGACCAGACTTGGCTTGTCCATTCAGCGAGCCAATACTAGACAGGTTTTCATTTCTTTGCTCTATTGTACACCCGGAACAGGCACCAGGTTATCAAAGAGGCAGCTGATACTCTGGCATACATAAGCTCTCGTACCTGGCAGCTCTACTTCTTGATCCCTAGACAGGAGTCTTACAGAGAAGTTCCTGCATCCTTGGGGGACAGGGAATATGACGAGCATTCCTTTCCTAGGTGACAGGCTGCTGCAGGTGGATGGAGTGAGTCTTTGTGGCCTCACTCACAAGCAGGCTGTGCAGTGTCTCAAGGGGCCTGGGCAGGTGAGTACACCATTACTGGGGACCTTTCTTACTTTCAGAGCTTTCTAGAACAGCATCGGAAGTTACAGTTGTTGCTTCTAGGTAGGAGTAAGGAAGCCAAGAAACAAAATAGGACTTTTTAAAGTCTACATTACCCACTTTTCACTCTTCATGTTAACATCGCTTTCCTATGAGAACGTGAAACCCAGGAGGTAGCAGACAGATGTTTCTAAAGTAGTAAACCTCACACCCTTTAAATAGCTCTGGAAAGCTTATATCTGATTGCTTTGATTTAGGCCTCAGACAGCAGAACAGAACTAAGTGAGAACAGAGGCTCCTGCAGGTTGGCAACAGCTGTGCTCCTATCTGTGCCAACCCATTTTCCAGGGCATCTACCTGCACACAGGCCCTTGCTCTTTCCCACTTACCCACAGTGACACCATCACCCTGTTCATGTCATTGTCTGTTGCCCTCTGCCTACATCACCAGGACCTGAGCTGGATTGTTCTGGGTTTCTGTTCACAATGGTGAGGGGTAGATTCAGGACACGGAGGGCTAGAGGTGTCTTGCTACAGAGCTCTGTCCTCGGCCTTACGGTGGAGCTCTTTAATTGTTCCAGTATCCTGAGCTACATATTTCCACAGCGTTCTCTTGGGGATAGAGGAGTTCACAGGGAGAGAAAACATTTCAAGGGCCTTCCACCCAAGGGGAGCACGCTCTCTCTCTCTCTCCTCATACCCTGAAAAGGGCTCATGATTAGTTAGCACTGTCTGTTTATTAGGCCTTCACTAATGCACATGGTTAGAGAAAATACATCTGGATGCTGGCACAATGACAAGTAGGAATTGCCACTGTGGGGTCATGGACTTGGTGCTGAATGACAATTGCAGCCGAAAGATGGAGTCAGGTGCAGGTGCCCCAAATGGAAGCTTAGCATTTCTAATAAGCTTCCTGGTGATGTCCAGTCGCTGCATTTTGAGCCTTTTTGGGTAATGAGGGCATGAGGTACTATGGGGAAGAATAAGAAATCAAGAAAAAAAAATGGGGGAAGGGTAATCAGCATGGGCCTGGGATGCCATTCCATGCTTTTGGAATTCAGGTGATGGGAGATATTGGGGACTTTAAACTGCTCATTGAAAGTTCAGTTTTGTATATTAGACCAGTCCACTAGCCATGCTGGGAACTGGACCAATGAAATGGAAATGGGACAGAAAGCCAGGTTAGAGCTTATGGCAGTGCCCCTGGCTGTGGAGAGAGAATGGGGAAGCTTTGAAGGAGGTAAATACCTTTGCTGGAGAACTCATAAGCTTTAAAACCAAATGATTGTGGAGGCAGAAGCGGGAGAGCTGGATGACTCCAAGTGTGGTCCTTGAGAAGTTAATAGGGGGATGACCTCAGATTCTGAAAGATCATGTAGAAGGGAAAGGATGCTTTAGGCAGAACAAGGAGGGGAGGGGGGAGTGGGTGCTGGGGGAAGGTGAGCTTGCTACTGAATGTGCAGACACACAGGTACACAGGTTATCTTCAGTGGCACTTGCCTAGTTACAATTGTTTCTGCCAGTCTGTATCCCAGGAGGAGCTAGCCTGGGGATTTGGATTTGAGAATTAAATAAAGCAGCTCATTGGAAGTGCCAGAAAATTAAGCATCTGTGGTTTCGGTGTGAAGTGTAAACTGAGTTTGTCCACTCATCTTTTTAGGTGGCACGGCTGGTCTTAGAGAGAGGAGGCCCCAGGGCTGCATGTCCCTCTGCTGACGGCAGGATGGGAGACGAGCACATGGCTGTTTCCCTGGTAACAGGCAGGCCTGGCAGACCTGCGAGCTGTGTCTCAGTGACAGATGGTAAGAGGAGAGAGGATTGAGTGTTACTATTGTCTTATCATTATATACTGCTTTAGAATTGTCAAGTCAAAGGGGGAAGGCAGGGAGGCTTCCTCTGGGTTTAAAAAAAAAAATGCCAGCAGTGTGGGTCATGATCATCATCCAAGCTGGTGGAAAACATTCTTTGAAAAATGAAATTACATAGTGCCCAAATGACTACCCCCAAGAATTCTGCTCCTAAGTCTTGTGCAGTTTCCTGATCACTCACCAGAGTATTGATGTTTGCACGTAAGCATTAAGGAACGTGGTTGACGTGAAGGGTCATGTTCCTGCCAGGCACTTGTAAGGAAGCCATCCTGGGGCTGGTTAGGCAGACAGGGAGATGAGGCCGTCAGGAACCTAGCCTTGTTAGTGGCATCATTTACAAGAGCAAAGCTGCTACAGCCTACTGCATCTCCTGATGGATCCCCTCTCTGCACGTCTGTGTGATTTCCTGTCCTGCTAAGAAAGGCCTGCTGCCATAGAACACCATGGGTTGAAGCTTACCCATATCCCACCCCTTCCAAAGGGCGTGTTACAGCCCTGCTACATGAGGCAAGTCGGATGCTTGGTGGTGCCATCATCCTTACATCAGCTCTGCCTCTTCTCCCCTTACTTCCTCTGTGCTCTCCAGATAGAGCCTTTGAACAATGTGCTAACCCCTGAGCAGCCGAGGCCATTGTGGCAATATCTGATGGGCTCAGACCACAGACATCACTCTCGGCTTCAGCTATTTTCATTCTTGCTTGAGTGAAAATTTATAAGCCAAGACTCTGTCACTCTCTTCACTAGTTACCTTTGAAATTAGTGAAGACAAAGCAGGAGAACCCTGGAGGTTCCTTCTGGTTCCCATACTCCCTAGATGCCCAAGGCTGTGTCTATCTCTGACCAGAAGGGACTGGTCAGTGTACATGGCTAAGCCAAATGGCAGCTAGAACATTCTTCCAAGTTGACTGTTATTGTCCCCACCATGCATTTTCTAAAATTTCATATTGCATGTACTAAAACACTATCAGGATTCGACATTGCAATCTATATGTAGTAAATTTTACTTGATGCTGTAAGCAGATGGTGTATGTCTAAAGCTCCATCCTTACATATAAATTTAGTTGTTTATATTTAAACACTTAGTACGGCAGGCACTTGTCATATGTGACTGACTGTTGAACATTTAAAATGTGGCAATTCAAATAGCTAGAGTGCTCTAGAGTGCAAAGACTTAGTCTAAAAGACAAATGAAGATAACCTCAGTCATCTTTTGTGTTGATCTCACATCTATGTGGTAGTAATTTAGACTTAGGGACCTTCTCTAACATGGCCTAGTGAGGGTGTAAAAGCCGTGCAAAACCGACCATACTTTGAGCTTGAGTCCCTCATTTAGATGCTGGGAAGTGGTGGTGAGATGTGGGTTAGTACCACACTTGCCAGGGGAAACTGTAGTGGGCTGTTGCTAAGCGAGGATGCTGGGAAGGTTAGATCCAGTGAGCGTCAACATAGTCATCCCACTTTGCATAGGATTTGTCAGGATGTAATCCACCCAAGGAACGTCTATATTGACTTAAACAGGATACATTATTTAACCTGACCTGTTTTCTTTCATTTTTAAAGCATGCAGTTGCTTCAAAGCTGTGAAAGGACCTTCATGGTTTGCATTTACAGCTTAGATCCTGTCTGTGGCAGCACCGAGCTGTAATGTGTGTGATGGACCCCATCATCCAAGTTAGCCCATGAAATACTTCTCTGCAAAACGGAAGCGACTCGTTTCCATGACAACTCCCAGGTCAAGGCTGACCAGTTGCAACACACTGAAAAGTCTGTTTTCATGAATCCCATGTTGTAGGTCCTAAATTTGAAGTGAAACTGAAGAAGAATAGTGGTGGTTTGGGATTCAGTTTCGTGCAGATGGAGAGAAGAAACTGCAGCCACCTGAAGAGTGACCTTGTAAGGATTAAGAAGCTCTTTCCTGGGCAGCCAGCTGAAGAGCATGGGGCCATTGCAGCTGGAGACATTATTCTTGCAGTGAATGGAAAACCTATAGAAGGCCTAGCTTTCCAGGTGCGCAGAGCTGTGGGGGTGGGGAGCACAACTCTGGATGCCTGCTGAGGTAAGCCATGTTTCTTTGAGTGCCATCCCCACAGAGAATACTTTGGGCTCTTGGAATTAACACCTGGGTCTGGGCTTGGAGCCTATAGAAAGCAACCAACAGGATGTGGCCATATTTATTTTCGATCTCAGTTTTAAAATATCTAACCTTGAGTGTGTATTGCTCTTCAGTAGGCCCCTCAGTGAACCTGAACATAAAACTTGGCTTGTGTGCTGAATGGTTTCTCTGTGTACGTTCTAGGAGGTGATATGAAGCTGGAGGGAATAAAGAGGAGCCCTCTCCACTCTCCTTGAGATTCATGTGCTGAATTTATAGCTTTGCATGCATAGTGTAGGATAGACTGTCACCTGTGTTCAAAAAGATGCCTGGTGGGAGAGATGGCTCAGTGAGAGCGCACACTGGTTTGCAGAGGGCCTGAGTTTGGTTCTCAGCACCTGGGTCCAGTAGTTCACAACTTTCTGTAATTCCAGGTCCAGGGGCTCTGATCCTTCTTTTGATCTCTGCAGGTACCTGCACTCACATGTACATACTCACACGTAGACACACATAATTAAAAAAAAAAAATGAAAGTGAGTCTGGGAAAGAGACAGAGAGACAGAGATTGACTTGTAGTACAAAATCCCAAGGAAATATCTTTGTTATTTGGAGGTACTGGTAGAAAATAGAGTCATTTGAAGAGACTTTAGTAATGGCGTGTGGGTGTTATTAGAAAGTTGGAGGTGAGTGTATTGACATAGAGTACAGCTACCCACTTTGCAAACTCAAAAGGGGATGTGAATGGATAGCTACCCAACACTAGAGATAGAACGGGTAACAGGATTTGCTGGCATGATCCAAGGCTTTCACTGAAGGACATAATCATCCCGTGATGACCCAACAGAGGAAGCCAGGTCCAACACCAACCTCCTCTTCCTTGTCCCTTTCTCCAGCCAAGCCCATGAGAAGTATACAGCCCACAAAGGGCATGTCAAAGCAGGCTATTCAAAGGTGGAAAGTAGCTCTGGCGTAGGTGGTCTGTGCAGTTCTCATAACTGCATGAGCTCATGAATGAGGAGGCCTCCAAGTGTTTATGTGATCCAAGTGCGGCTCTCTTCAAGCTACCACTGGGGAGCCTCATGAGGGACTGTAGACTTGGGGATGGTGTGAGGACACAGCTGTGCATCCTCAGAGTCATGATGGGGGTGAGAAAGACAGGAAAACCACAGAAGCTACGGAGGATGAGTCATGGAAAGAAGAGCCCAGGCTTTTGTGCATATATTCAAGTGCCAGGAAGAGGGGCTGTGAGCTTTCTGCAAGGTGACAAAATGCCTGAGAAAACTAACTTTAAAAAGAGAAATTTTGTTTTGGCTCAGAGGTTTCAGGGATTTTAGTCCGTGACCACTTGGTTCCTTATGAGCCTGTAGTGAATCAAACTTTATGATGGGGAGAGTGTGCTTCTTTCCTCATAGAAGCTGGGATGGAGAAAAAGAGGGAGGGAGGGAGAGTCAGAGGAACAGAGAGACAGATATAGGGAGACAGAGAAGGAGAAGCAGTTGCAGAGACAGGAGACAGAGAGACCCAATATCCCCTTGAAGGGTACAGCCCAGTAACCTAACCATGTCCAATAGGCTCCATTTCCTAGATAACCCATCACCTCCAAACAACTCCATGAGTTGGAGACCAAGCCTTTGTCACATGAGCCTTTGGAGGCCATTCCAGGTATAATCCTGAAGAATATGATCAGTGGCAGACCTGAGCAGCTGAGGGGACATTGACCTGGGTCAGAGATTCTCAAAGAGGCAAGTTGTTGCCTTATGTGGGACATTATGACTCCTGAGACAATTGTGGCTGTCACAACTGATACGTGCTGCTGTCATTCTGTGGGTAGAGACTAGTGCTTCTGCTAAGTACCCTTCTCACAGGGAATGGGTCCCCAAAAAAGAATTATCTAGCCCAAAATAAGGCAGGAAGGCTGAAGGATTCTGGCATAGATATGGGAATGTAAAGGCACCTTGTTCCCCCAGCAGTGAGATGGTGACTTAAGCACAGGCTCAGTATTGTGGAAGAAGCTCAGGTTGTGTTGCAAAGATGAGCCGGTGGGAGAGAGCAGTTGTGAATGGCAGTGGCAGGCAAATGCTGGTCCTGTGAGCTGGGAAGTTGCAGTGAACAAAGAGGAGGCACAGCAGGAGAGTGGGTGCATTTTGAAAAGAATACCCTTGTGCAATGTAGAAGGAAGCAGTCAGGCTTGAGAGAAGGCAAGGACCAGAATGTCACCGAAATTCCACAGGGGAGTGTCTCGAGGGTCTCAGCCTCTTTAGGAAGAGATTCCTGAAGGCCTCAGTGTATCGCTGCCATGCAATCCCAAGATGTTGTTTGTAGCTCTTGGATCCTGGGAGTTTGGAGAGGTAAGCTTACAGTGGTGCTTTCCCAAGTCATCTGGAGCCAAACAATAGGTCAGAGCATGGGAAATGGTTTCCCGGAAGCAGTGACTAGCACAAAGCTGCACTGCCCAGTAAGGTAACCCCAGTGTAACTGTAAGTGGTTTTCTTGTAGGATGTGCTCCATTTATTGCGTGGGGCTCCAGAAGAAGTGACGCTCCTCCTCTGCCGACCCCCTCCGGGGATACTGCCCGAGATGGAGCAGGGATGGCAGGTAAGACATGTGTCCTTATTTCTTCTTACAGGCCTGTCAGCCTGTCACTTTTCAATCTGGTGGTCCTGAAACGCCTACCATTTCTTTTAGAGGGCACAACAACAGCCCTTTCCGTGGGGCAGGAAGACATCTTGCCCCCAAATCTTAGAGCACCCACTTCCCTTCCTGTTTTCATCACTCCCAGCACTGGGGCCTCCTTGTGGATGTGCAGAAAATGGTTAGACTTTGGTCATAAGAGTTCTAAACTGTGTCCTCTGGCCTCCTGAGTATGCAACTAAACCAAAAGAACTTCCTGCTGGAATAAAACGTACACTCCCCCCTCAAAGCCTGAAACAGATAAGTGTGGCTGGTGAAGAGATCAAAGCCACTGCGACCTCAGAAATGTGGGGCCTTTACTTGGATGCTTATGTTAGTCTGGTTCTCCAGAGAAACAGAATGAAGGAGAGAGATAACAGATGGATGAATGGATGGATGGACAGACAGACAGACAGTGGTTGTACAGACACACAGACAGGATAGGATAGTTATCGTAAGAAATTAACATATCTAATTCTGGGTCTGGCCATTGTGAACTTTACAAGACCAAGCAGCAGGCTGGAGACCTGGGAAGCAGCTTGGACTCAGGCATGAGGGAGCAGGTGGGACAGAGCACAGGTTCTGTGTGGTGAGCTGGGTGGTGTCGGTGAAGTGGTAGCCTGGAAATGAATTCCCTCTTTCTGGGTGAAAGCTAGTCTTTACTCTCCAAGGCTTCTGATGGTTGGAGAAGGCTCCACACAGCCTGGAGAGCACTTGTTTTGCTTGAAGGCAAACCACAACTAAGGATCCATTTATAGTGATATCAGTGGTGGTATTTAACCAAATATGTGGGTACCCAGGCCTAGTCAAGTTGCCACACGAAATGATCTGTCACCTTTTGGAGGCTTCTTGCTGGGTCTCTGGGAAATTGACTCTCTGATGGAGATTTGAGGACAGGGAGTCTGTGGACCTGGTCCATGGGAGCATTGTCTGCATGGGTCAGGACGCTATCCTCAGTAGAGGAGGAGGCCAGTGTACAGCATAACCGAAATCCCAGTTCATCTCACAGGGAGCTCCACATCTGTGATGGTCTCTGGCATCTGTCCAGAATAGCACACACACATTTGAGTGTGCGCTGGCCCAAGGGACAAACCCCAGCTCTGACTGAAACATATCTGTTGAGCTGAATGCAGCTCCTGGGTGGTGGGCAAGCATGGCCATGAGACAGAAGCTGCTTTCCCAGAGCATGTGGAGCAGAAGCGATGGCTTCTGGGTACTGCAGAAAATGAAGATGCTTTTAGGGGTCCAGGCAAGACTTCTACTTAGCAGTTGTTTGTGGAGAACAAGTATGAGGTCCGGGCTAGGAAAAAAAAAATGAGTTTGGGAGTTGCTAGCCTATAGATTTATATAACGGCATGGAATGGTTGAGTCCACTACCTCACCTCGGGAACATGAAGAACCCAACACTGGGAGCTCTAGTATAGTGAGCTGAGGCTGAAGAGAAGGGGCAGGGGAAGAAGTGGAACCAGGCAGCAGCAGACATGACGAACACAAGAGTGTGAGCTAGGGTGAGCTAGGGTGCTCCCAGTAGGAGGGTATACCAGTTGGAAGATGGTTGCTGAAAGCTAGGTAGAGAAGCTCCCTGTGGTTTTAGGAAGAAATAATTTTTACTAGTGGATGGCTAGTAGGGGAAGGGTGAAGGGGGTGAAGTACAGGCCGACCAGGAAGACTTCTGTGAATGGGGGAGGATGCTTACCTAACGTGCCGTTCTTGCTGTAAAGTAAAAGGGGAAATGGGAGAAAGGTGTCGGGGGCTTGAGAGAGATGGAAGATCATCTCTAGGAAACGGAACTGATGCAGAGAAAGGTTACCTGGAAGCCTTGAATGAGCATTGCCGTCTTACAGCCACACCCCTGGCATTCAGAGGCTTTGCAGCTGGTGGGAAGGTCACACGGTTTTCCGGAGAACTGGAATGAGCTTACAGAGTGTGCAAGGGGCAGAGGGGGAAGCTGAAAGGCTCTCCTTTGTAAGAGGGTGACATTAGGGAGGAGGCAGCATCAAAGGAAGAGCAAGGATGTAGGTGGTGGGGATAACAAAAAGCATCTGTGATCACAGGCTGGAAGCTTTGAGGCCTGACAGCTGCAGAGAATGTCGGAGGTGAGCGAGAGCACAGGCTCGAAGGAGTCTCAGGAGCTCTCCCATGAGTGAGAAGGATGTAATTGCTCTGGCTCTTCATTTCTTTAAAAAAAATCTTATCCATTTTAGAGCTTGATTTTCTCTGTACCCTTTATAATAGGCACGGTCTATCTGTGAGGGACTGGTTATGATTTATACTTTAAGTGTGCGTCTTTAGGATGACCCTTTCTCTTGAGGAGGGGCCTATGCTGCCACAAAGGCTCACCCAAGGGAGGGTCCTTGGTGGTGGATGTGAAGCTTCCTCTGTCCAAGTGAGACCAGGGCTGGGAGTTCAGCTCTTTGCTTTTTCGCTCTGTGATGAAAGGGAGTTGGTTGTGAGGTAGAAACGCTGACCTAATTTTTAGGAAAGTGTAAAATCCTAACTTCCACACAGTTATAGACATTAACACATGCATCACCCATTCTAAGAGGGGGACTGGACAGATGTTAAAACTGATTAAAAAAATGGTTCAAAAGAGATGTCAAAAAGCAGCATGTTCCTTTATGGAGTTGTAAAATGTCTCTACTGTTGTCAGTGGGGATGGGACCAGACAAGAGTAGCCAGCTGTAGACAGAATAGAGGCTTCTTGTGAAACAGGATTGTCTTGCTACCAAAAAAAAAAAAAAAAAAAAAACTGCACACTTTAAAAAGTCACAAAAGGCCATTAAAACCAGAAGTTATACAGTCCAAGGGCTGCAAGCAGTGAATTAAGTCATGTCTGGGGAAGTGTTGAGGGGCCCAGGAAAAGAGCTCTGTGCTAGGAGACCAGAGAGAACTCAGATGACAAGACAAATAATTAAAAAAAGAAAAAGAATTCATATGGAAAAGAGGAGGTTTTTTTGTTGCATTTTCTTTCCTTTTATTGAAAGTGGATTCTTTTCTCATATAATTATCCTGATTATAGTTTCTCCTCCTCCTCCCTTTTCTCCCACCTTCCCTTCCCTTGAGAACCACTCCCTTTCTTTCTCTTTCATTAGAAAAGAACGGGGTTCTAACACGGTAAGAGCCAAACACAGCAAAATAAAACATAATAAGATGAAGCAAAGTTGGACACAGCAACCCAACAGGAGGAAAAGAGTCCCAAGAACAGGCATGAGAGTTAGAGACCCACTTGTTCTCACAGTCAGGAGACCCATAAAAGCACGAAGCTAACTAATTAGGTGTAGTATATACTCGGAGGACTTGGTGCAGACTCATGTACAGCTTCCTGCTTCAGTTGCTTATGTGTGCCTTGCTTGGTCAGTACTGAGGGCCTTGTTCTCCTGGTGCTCTTCACCCCTCTGGCTCTTACAGTCTTTCTTCTTACTCTTCTGCAGGATTCCTTGATCTCTGAGGGGGAGGCTTTGATGGAAACCTCCAGTTTAGACTCTCTTTCCACATAACGTCTGGCTGTGGGTCTCTGCGTCTGTTTCCAGAAAGCCTGTCTGATGATGACTGGATGAGGCACTGTTCTATGAGTACAGCAGAATATCATCAGGAATCATTTTATGTATTCATTCACTTTTAGATTGGTAGTGCTTGGTTTTACCCTAGAATTCTGGGCTATCTAGTTTCCGGTTCTTGATTACCAAGCAGCGTCAGGTATGGGTTCTTTCTCCTGGAGTGGGCCTTAGATCAAATCAGACATTAGCTAGCTTCTCCCATTAGCTAGATTCTGTGTCACCATTACTGTTCTGTTCAGAAAGTCATGTCCTGTGTAATGCATTCAGGGATATTCCCCAATTTTTCTTCTATCGAGTTCAGTGTATCTGGTTTTATGTTGAGGTCTCTGATCCATTTGGACTTGAGTTTTGTGCAGGGTGATAAATATGGATCTTTTTGCATTCTTCTACATGCACTCATCCAGTTAGACTAGTACCCTTGTTGAAAATTCTTTCTTTCCAGTGTGTATTTCTAGCCTCTTTATCAAAAATCAGGTGTCCATTTGTGTGTGTATTTATATCTGAGTCTTCAATTCTTTTGATCAACGTGTCTGTTTTTATGATAATACCATGTGGTTTTTATTACTATTGCTGTGTAGCATAAGTTGAAACCAGGAATGATGGGACATCCAGAAGTTCAGGATTGTTTTAGCTATATGAGTTTTTTTTTCCCATATAAAGTTGAGAATTGTACTTTCAAGGTCTGTAAACAATTGTGTTGGAATTTTGATGGGGACTGAATCTGTAGTTTTCTTTTGGTAGAATGCCTATTTTTCACTCTGTTAACCCTACTTAACAATGAGCATGGAGAATAGTTTCATCTTCTGATATCTTCTCCAATATCTTTCTTCAAAGACTAGAAATTTTTATTTGCTTGGTTAGAGTTACTCTAAAATAATTCATATTATTTGAGGCTCTTGTGAAAGGTATTGTTTCCCTGATTTCTTTCTCAGTCCATTATTCGCATATAGGAAGGATACTAATTTTTGTAATAATTTGTATTCAGCTATTTTGCTGAAAGTGTTTATCAGCTGTAGGAGTTACCTGGTGAAATTTTTAGAGTCTCCTGTGTATACTATTATATCATTTACTAATAAAGTTATTTTGACTTCTTTCCATTTTGTGTCCCTTTGATCTTCTTTAGTTGTCTTATTGCTTTAGCTAAGACTTCAAGTACTATATTGAATAGATTCGGAGAGAGTGGACAACCTTGTCTTGTTCCTGATTGTAGTAAAATTGCGTTGAGTTTCTCTCCATTTAATTTGATTTTGGGTATAGGCCTGCTGTAAACTGCCTTTATTATGTTATGTTCCTTGTATTCCTAATCTCTCCAGGCCTTTTATCATGAAGGGGTGTTGGATTTTATCAAAGGCCTTTTCTGCATCTAATGAGATGATTATGATTTTTTAAATTTTGTTTATATTGTGGATTAGATTTATTAGTTTTTGTATATTGAACTATCTCTGCATCTCTGGGATGAAGCTTACTTGATCAAGATGGATGATCTCTTTGATGTGTTTTTGGATTTTGCAAGTGTTTTATTGAGTATTTTTGCATGTATGTTCATAAGGAAAATTGACCTGTAATTCTCTTTCTTTGCTGGGCCTTTATGTGGTTTGGATATCAGGGTAACTGGGGCTTCATAAAATGAACTAGGCAATGCTCTTTCTATTTCTGCTTTATGGAATAATTTGAGGAGTATTGCTGTTAACTTTGAAAGTCTGGAGAATTCTGTGCTAAAATCATCTGGCCCTGGGCACCTTTTTTTGGCAGGGGGAGATTGAGAGACTTTTAATTACTACTTCTTTTTCACTAGGAGTTATAGGTCTGTTTAAATTGTTTATTTGATCTTGATTTAACTTTGGTAAGTGATACCTATAGGGAAAATTATTCATTTCTTTGAAATTTTCCAATTTGGCAGGTACAGGTTTTTAAAGTATGTCCTCATGGTTCTCTGGACTTCCTCAGTGTCTGTTGTTATATCCCCCTTTTCATGTCTGATTTTGTTCATTTGGATCTTCTTTCTCTACCTTTTAGTTAGTTTGGATAAGGGTTTGTTTATCTTATTGATTTTTTTTATCTTACTGGTTTTCTAAAAGAACCAACCATTTGTTTCATTTATTCTTTGTTGTTTTTCTTCTTTATTTTAATTGATTTCAATCCTGAGTTTGATTATTTCTTGCCATCTACACCTCTTGGGTGCAATTAGTTCTTTTTGTCCTATACCTTTGAGATCTGCTGTTAAGTTGCTAACATGAGATCTCTTTCTCTCTCTCTTTTTTTAATGTAGACACTTAGTGCTATGAACTTTTCTTTTAGCATTGCTTTCATTGTATCCCATAAGTTGGGTATGCTATGTATTTATTTTCATTGAATTTTAGAAAGTCTTTAATTTCTTTATTTCTATCTTGACCCATTTTTCATTCAGCAGGGAGTTGTTCAGTTTCCATGAGTTTGTAGGCTTTCTGTTGTTTCTGTTGTTGTTGATATAACAGCTTTACTTTGTGATCATCTGAGAGGATGCAGGGAATTATTTTATTTTTTTTTATATGCTGGGACTTTTTTTTTTCAACTACACGGTCAGTTTTGGAGAAAGTTCCATGAGATACAGAGAATAATATATATTTTTTTGTGTTTTGGTGAAATACTCTGTAAATATCTTTTAGATCCTTTTGGTTTACAATGTCCATTAGCGCCAGTATTTTTCTGTTTAGTTTTTGTCTGGATAACCTGTTTGTTGGTGAGCTAGACTATTGAAGTCTCCCACTATCAGTGTGTGAGGGTCAGTATGTGATTTAAACTGTAGTAGTATTTCTTTTACAAACTTAGGTATGCTTGTGTTTGGGGCATCGATGTTAAGAATTGAAATGTCATTTGGTGGATTGTTTCCTTTGATGAGTATGTAGTGTCCTTCCCTGACTCTTTTGATTAGTTTTTGTTTGAAGTCTATTTCATTATATATTAAAATAGCTATACCAGCTTGCTTCTTAGGTCCATTTGTTTGGAATATTTTCCCCAACCCTTTACCCTGAGGTAATGTCTATCTTTGATGTTAAGGTGTGTGTGATTGTTGGATGTAGCAAAACGATTGGCTCCATTTTCACATCTATTCTCTTAGTCTGTGTGTTTTTATTAAGGAATTGAGAGCATTGATATTGAGAAATATCAGTGACCAGTGACTGTTAATTCTTGTTATTTTGTTGTTGTTGAGAGATACCAATGACGAATGAGAGATATCAATGACCAATGACTGTTGATTCTGGTTATTTTGCTGTTCTTTTATTGTTGTTGTTGTTGTTGCTGGTGTTGTTGTTGTTGTTGGTGGTGGTGGTGGTGGTGGTGTGTGTGTGTGTGTGTGTGTGAATGTGCTTCTCTTCTTTTGATTTTGTTGGTGTGAGATTATTCCCTGTTCTTTCATGGGTGTAGTTGACATCCTTAGGTTGGAGTTTTCCTTATAGTACCTCCTGTAGGGCCGGATAATATTACTTAAATTTGACTTTATTATGGAGTATCTTATTTTTTCAACCTATGGTCTTAAATTTTTTTCTGAGTGTAGTAGTCTGGTCTGGTCTGTTATAGTCTGCAGCACATCTGTCTAGGCCCTCTGGCTTTTAGAGTCTCCATTTAGAAATCAGGTATAATTCTAATATCTAATTCTTTAGAAGTATATGTAAAATTTAGAAGTCAGGTGTAATTCTCTATATGTTACTTGATTTTTTTCCCATGAAGCTTTTACTATTCTGTCTTTGTTTGTATATTTAGTGTTTTGATTATTAGGTTTTGAGGGCACTTCCTTTTCTAGTCCCGTTTGTTTGGGTTTCTGTATGTTTCTTGTACTTTTATAGCCATTTCCTTCTTTAGGTTAGAAAGACTTTCTTCTATGATTTTGTTGAAAACATTTTCAGAGCCTTTGAGCTGGATTTCTTCTTCTTCCTCTATGACTATTATTCTTAGCTCTGGTCTTTTCGTAGTTTCCTAGTTGTTTTATTTCAGGAGTGTTTAAGATTTAATATTCCTTTGACTTATGTGTCTATTTCTTCTATCATATCTTCAATGCCTGACATTCTCTCTTCTAGCTCTTGTATTCTGTTGGTGAAACTTGACTCTCTAGTTCTTGTTTGAAATCCCAAAATTTTCATTTCTTGAATTCCCTCAGCTTGTGTTTTCTTTTTTCTCTATTTCCATCTTTAGGTCTTGAATAGTATTAGCCATTTCCTTCTGCTGTTTGTGTTTTCTTGGCTTTCTTTAAGGGATTTATTTATTTTCTCTCATTGTTCATGATTTCCTTGATTTCTCTAAGGTATTTATTAATTTCCTCCAGTTGTTTATTGTGTTTCCTGGATTTCTATGAGGGATTTATTCATTTTCATGTCTAAGGGCCTCTATAATCTTTGTATAGTTGGTTTTAAGGTCTTTTTTATTCTTGTCTTCCAGCTATGTTGGAATATTCAGGACATGCTGGTAGAATAGCTGGGCTTAGTGTAGACACATTACCATGGTTTAGTGTAGACACATTACCCTGGCTTAGTGTAGACACATTACCCTGGCTTAGTGTAGACACATTACCCTGGCTGTTGTGTTTTTATCTTGATGTCGTGGCATCAAGATGTTTTTGGGATGATTCAAGATCTAGGTGCCAATTTTTGGATTTGTCTTTTTTTGGGTGGGTGTTTTGTTCCTTTGTTTCTGTTTCCTCTCTGGAGTTTTGAAGAGCCAGAATGCTGTGTGTTGCTCATTTTTCTGGCCTGTTCAGCTGCTGCTATCTTCACAGGAAATACCTGTTGGCACTGGAAGCTGGGTAACTGGGATGGGTTGGGACAAGGAACATTGGAAGAAGAGGTCTTTGTGAGGAAAGCAAGACCACAACAGGTTTCCAGCTACAGAACTGGGGATGAGGATATTGGCTCTCCAGAGCATAGGAGTGTGGCTCTTGTCTCAGTTGACTTGTTTTCCTGGAAGGAGCAGTGCTATCATTAGCAGAGGTTAACGGCTGGAGTTGGAGTCTGGGACAAAGTGGAGGAAGGGAGGCTACGGGGCATGGTTTGTGGGCTTCATAGGAAATGTGAATAGGGATGAGGGATAGCTGCAGCTCGCATTCTCTACTAGTGCTAGGGAAGAGTCTGCGCAATGCTTTTCTCTTTTCCTCTCCTTCCTTTTCCTCTTCCTTTTCTTCTGCTTTCATTTTGTTTAATTTGCAAGCACAGCCATTTTCTCTCATTCACAGAGGATGGCCTGCAGTGGATTCATGAAAGGTTGGGCAGTTCTGAACTCTCTGTGTACTGCCTTTTCCTATATGCCCCAAGGCATTTCCAGGTTAATTCCACAGAGCTATTCTGGTCCCATGTTTCTTTTTTCTTCACTTTCTTGCATTTTGGGGCCATTAGTAACTAATGTGAACATAAGCATTGCAGTACTGTATAGCTGATTCAGACCAAGAGAGCTAGTATGATAACGTGCAGGTAGTATATACAGCACAGAAACACTGGACAAAGGGATGATATATATGCAGAGCAGGATGCAGCAAGAAGATAGTTTGAGAATTTGTCATGTTACTCAGAACAACATGGATTCATTATTTCTAGAATTTTCCATTTAATACTCTCAGACTCTACTAAGTCAAGTCATGGAGAACAAAACTATGGGCAAAAGCAACTACTGTATTTTTTTCATTAAAAAAACAAACAAACATAGCTCACATTCACTGCCCTCAAACTAAGGTACTTAAAGGTAAGATTGAATATGTTGCCCCAGGAATAGGTACAGAATCGAGGACCCTGACAGAAGAGACACTGATTGCGAAGTCCATGTGTCTATAGTTCAGATGTAAAAGCACCTGGAAAGACTTCTGATTTCTTTAAAAAATTATATGTCTGTGTATATGTCTGCCTGTGGGCATGTGCGTATGAGTGTGATTACCTACACAGGCCAGAAAAGTGCATCAGGTCCCCTGGGTCTGGAGTGACAGGTGATTGTGTGCTGCCTGACATGGATGCTGAGAGCGGAATTCTGATCCCCCACAAGAGTAGAATGTGCTGTTATCCACTCTGCCATCTCTTCAGCCCAAGACCTTATTTCTTAAACCTTTCTTAGAGTTTCTTCAGTGTGTGAGATAGTGCTTGTAACCATTCACATTTCTCTAATAGACCCCTGAGCTTTCAGCAGACCAAAGATTCACCACGACAACATGTACTGAATCAGAGCAGAGCCCCAGCCTCGATCCAGAGGACAGCTGGAGGGACAGTGCCTCCCTGGACACAGGAGAAGGCCTGGGTCTCAGGCCAGAGTCTTTCTACAAGGCTGTCAGAGGGATGAAAGGGGACCAAGACAGACAGAGACCCTGGCACAGGTCCTTGATGCACCCTATGGAGTCCCATCCTCACCTGTGCCAAATGCACCTAGAGCCAGAGGCAGCAGCATTGGCTACGTCTTTGGAAAAGGATGTGAGGCAAAACTGCTATTCTGTGTGTGATATCAGGAGACTGAGAAGGTAAGGTCTGTCACGCTTGCAGACACTTCGTATACTGTGAGCATTCCATTGCCAGCTTATGACAATCAAGTAGTCGCCTACTGTAGAGGGGGTCATCGTGCCCAGCACTGTTTTGGGCATTTGAGGGGAGTAAGAAACAGTTGAAGCCAGTGGTTGGCATTGCTACAACTTTGCCTGTGAACTTTGGGGAAAAGCAAACTCCATGCAGATGACAATAATCCCCAGTATGTCCTGGAGACTACTGATGGCAGGCCTCGCGTTCTCTTCCTACACAGTGTGTGCTTGGCATCCCTATGCCGCTTTAGTTGCTGTGGTACAAAGGGAACCTTGTGCATATCCTCACTTCTATTGATGATACAAGCTTTATTATCAACACTATCTGAAAGTGTATTTTTATTTTCAAAACCGGGCTGAAGCCTTCATTTTAAAGACTATTTTTTATTTATTCTGTACTTCAGTGCCTACCCACCCTTAAGTAGTTCTAGTTTTAATTCCTATTCTCATGGAAAAAGTTTTCAATTCAGTTTGAAAACTATTTATTACATACATATGCCTTGAAATTTGTTAGAAGCAGAGATAGGGAGGGAGAAGGAGAAATTTGGAGGGAGACAGGCTGTGTTTCTGCCTTTAGTCATTATTAAGCTTAGTGCATGAACACGAACAGGCAACAACCAGGAATAATAATTTGTGTTTGAAACTATATAAAGATGTTGGGATTCAATGGCTCTCTTTCCTGATACTGTAATAGAGTGACAAGGGCAGACTTATAGGTAGCATGATGTGTTAAACCCTCTTTGTCTATGGGTTCTCTATTCATATGTTTGAACAACCCTAGGTTGAAAACATTAGAAAAATGTGTTTGTACCGGACATACACAAATATTTTGGTTATTATTTTCTAAGCAGTATAGTATAACAATGATTTATAAACCATTCTCATTGTACTAGCTATTATAAATGATCTAGAAAGGAGTTAATATTTACAACAGGTGGTCTGTAGCCGATACACAAGCATTTAGCTACATTTTATATAGGAGACTTCAGCATCTGGGGATTCTGGAATCTGCAGGAGTCCTAGAACTGATCTCAGATGGACAGTGAGAGACCACTGCATGAGACAGAGACAAGATGATCCTGCTGGGTTCTGAGAGAAATGTGGCAAATAGGGGCCTGGCTTACCATACTTAAAGGCATCCAGATACAACTCTTTAAAGAATGATGTACAAGCCAAACAAACACCAAGTGCTTTGCAGCGTAGAAACAGTATGGGCAAGCTCATCCGTATATGATGTTCGTTGTCATTATCTAATACGTATTCCTTACAGGGTCACAGTTATAGCGCCTTAGAGCGTTACAGTTACAGTTCCTTACAAGGGAACCCTGGGCTTCTTATAACGTGCTTGATGAAGATGAACGGAACATTTTAGACATTTACCCCAGGCTAGCCATTAGTATACTTTTGTGGGACACATGAGAATTCTCTTTCCCTGGAGGCATAAGGCCATTTATTTATATTTCTAAAGGTTTAAAAAAAAACATGATTGTACATGTGTGTGTGTGATGAGATAGAAATAGAGATAGTGAGAGAGAGAGAGAAATGTAAAAACCATAGAGCATGTGCAGAGGCCACAGAACATTTGGAAGAGATAGTCATTTCCTTACATCACATTTGACAGCAAGCCCCTTCACCTGCTGAACCATCTCAGCAGCTCTGATGTCTAAAAGTTTTATTATCCGAGGGTTTGAAAAGAGGCCTTTGACAGCTGGGTTAAAGGAATTTCACTCATGCAAGTCTGGTTAGAAATGGGTTTACATCATGGCTTATGTCAAGATTTAGTAAAAACACTTTGACTTTTTAATTGGCCCAGGCCATCAGTTCATCATTCGTGCTACCACATTGTCTAGGGTTTCAACTCCAACCTCATACCCTGCCTGGGGCGCACATGGTAGCCTCCTGCAGGGAGGGGCTTACTATTGTGGGGGTGTGGCTGGCCCTGGACTGTGTGTGATCAATACACCCAGTGCCATTCCATTAAAGAAAAATGGCTTTCCCTATCTGGCAGTACTTAAGTGCCAATAGCTTCTTGGCTGGGGGTGGAACAACTTTACAAGAGAATAATTGTATTTATTTCCTGAATCAGCTTATGTTTGGCTTACTTGTAAGAGTACATCATATGTCCCAAACTTGTCATTTTTTGAAGGCTGTTTTCTTTTTGAGGGTCACTTAAGAGTCCTTCAGGTCTGTCCAGAATAGTGTGAGGCTTCTGACCTTCAGTTGCTATGGTTACTGCCTTTTTTTCTTTTCTTTTTACATCCCTAGCCCTGGGGCCCTTGTTGCCACAGGCAGCTGTACACCTCTTTGAACTGTTTCGCCTGGGCCCACACATCCCTGAGATCTTGCTTTCATGGTGGTTCTGGGGATGGCAACATTCTTCCCCCATCCCATTTTTGCCTCATTTTCATGTTTCTCTACTCTGAAAGGAGGTCACAAAGGATGTTAGCCCCTCCTCCACAGGACAGTCATTAGCTACCCTTTAACGCACTCATAGACAGTGTAGTGTGTAGTCAGGAATCATGGAAAGGAGGGTCCTCAGCTTGTGAGTAGGGTCTTAGTTAGTATCTTGAAGTGTCACTGAGGCTCTCTATGGACTACTTAGGAGCATCCGCAGGTGTGAGGTGGCTGTCCCAGCCAAATTGCCCCTTTGATTCTGGCCTCTCTGGGTCAAACTTTCTGCAGTGAGGAACGAAAGCATGCAGTTTAGAGTCAACTTTGCCACTTGCTAGTGTACGTGCCTGGAGAGTAGTCTTCCCTCGCTCAAGCCTTCCCGGTAGTTAACTAGTACCACCACCAACCAGGCCATTGCACAAGCCAAAAGGAAAAAGACAGCACAGTGCCTGGCACACAGTAGGAACTCAGCCCTATAATGTATTCTTATTCTCTCTTAGGCATTTTCTTTCTAAAGGACAAGCAAGCCTCATTGACTGCAATTCTCAGCAAGCAGGCAGAACTCACTCTCTGCCAGGTGGCTCCTTCTTAACACCAGATGGCTGCCAGCACCCAAGCAAACACAGATTAGATTTCATTTTTCCTTCCTCTTTCTCATCTTTATGCTATGTTCAGAGATTATAAAGCTCTCATAGTACATTGTATGCAGGGGTTGGGTTGCCTACCTACGAAAGAGGGGGGCTTGGCTGGGGGTACAAGGCGAGTTGCTACAGTTTGGGCATAAGGTGACAATCATATCAAGTCTTATTATGTTTGGGCATCACTATAGGATGCCTCAAACGCCACCTTTTTTTTTTTTTTTTTTTTTTTTGCTTAGGAGCAGATAACTTTCTTCTTGGCTAAGTCTCATATCAAAGCTCCTCCTTGAAAGTGTAGAGGTTGGATGGTCGTGAAGATGTAGCTTAGATGTCAGGCAGCTGTACTGGCTCACAGGGAGCTGTGCCCTGTTCCCTCACGGCCTCTTATTTCTGCCTGCTCAGTGCATAGCTTTTCTTGCTTTGTTATAACTACCTGGCGTTCCCTCACTATGTGTATAAGAAAACATAATTCATGTGCATTTATTAAATTTTTAAACCAGTTCTCCTCCCAAGTACTTGATAGTTTATAAATTGTTTTCTTGGTAAACTCATTTATTTTTATACACAAGCACGCATATACTCCCATGAAATGTACTGTCATACACATGCTGTGGCTATCTATCAGGAATGGAATTAATGTCCCTTAGCAGCAAACCTCAGGCCGGTGCACATACTGTTTGGCGTTTTTGGGTTTGCAGTTATTGGGGTATTTTAGAGTTGATTTAAGAGAAAGGGTGATTATGGGAGAGCATGGATAGGAACATTGTAACAAAACTAACTCATTGAACTGGGTGTAGGTAAAGAGGTTGAGAAATGAGGAGCCATGTATTTGGTTAAAGCAACAACAACAACTCAATCTGTGCTTTTCTCTTAGATTTTCCTTCTCGTCTTCTCTAACCCGATTAGCAACAGATCTTTTCTGAGTGCCTGTCTGCAGTGCTGCACAAGGCACCCTGCTGTCTGCAGGACTGCTCTTTCTCACCCAAGGCATGCGTGGATCCTCCCTGGATGGCTGAATCTCTCCCTTGCATCTGCGTGTGCATAGCCGGATAATGATCCTCGCCAGTCCTCTGCCGCCTATGTTCTTCTTTTGACACGGGGAATAAATGTCACTCCAGCTGGTTGCCTCTCTAAACACACACAGATTTTTTTTTTTTTTATCAGTGCCTAAAAAAGGACCTGGTATTTACACAAAGTGCTTTGAAGGCTGCTCCTAGTCTCCTTGGGCTCTTTCCCTCTAATCTGTCTGCTGAAATAGTTCAAACCATTAGAGTCATAAAACAGCATCTCACTGATGGAAACCTTACCCTGAACCAGGAGTCCTGAAAGGCATATAATGTATAGCAATCATTTAATTTAAACATTCTAACAATTCTATCAATTTCTCAACCTCCTAGCGTTTCAGATAAGAAAATTAAGATTTCAGATAACAATAAACCTATCCAGACTCTCGGTATAAAAAGCAGGTCCTAGAACTGATCCCAGCTCGTAGCTTTGCCCTCAGTGCTGTGCCCCTCTAGCAGCTTTCCTCTGGGCTTCTAGGATTAATATACACTGAGCTGCCTCTACTTACTACTCACTGTAATATTTCCGTGCTGCTCTTGTTCTCATTAGCCTGAGAGGTCTGACCAGTTCAGGGACCATATTATATTTGCTGTTTGCATCCTGGTACTCAGGCATTCTCTGGCAGGAGCTGTATGAACCTGGCTGGGTCTTAGGTGATGAACCAGGATGGGGGTCCTGAGGGGCAAGGAGAAGGTAGGCCAGGACGGTCTGATGAAGGCTGGAGGACACACAGGTTTCTGTTTTCTAGTCCTGAACTGGACAGGGATCATGCCGAAGGTGATACATGCTTTCTGCTCGAAGCCTCTTCACTCACCTGGGACTGTGAAGAGTACCCAACAGTCAACCGCCTGTCCTCGGGCCAGCTGCCCTGTGAAGAATGTCTAGAGGCAGATTCAGAGACCATTCCTCTGCCGCAGTTCTGTTCCTGGGGTGTTCTCCCAGAGTCCTCCCTTCTAGAAGGCTCCCAGCAGAGTGAGAGTGACTGGGAGGACCTGGAGGAGCCCTTGGATGGAGATGATGGGACCCTCAGGTGGGTATCACACTCTGTTTGGGGTGATTCATCACAGGGCTCACTTGGGCTGGAGGGATGGTCCCCGTGGGCATCATCTGAAAACCATTGCTGCTGAGTGCTTGCTGTGGTGTCCATTACGACTACCTTACCCATTGGGAACTATTTCATGTGGTACCCCCAAGGCTTCTGTGAGGTGCTACAGTGACGAAAGCACAGGCAGAATTCAAACCTTTTTTTTTTTCCCTGCTACTAGGCCCAGATGTCAAGTACCTCCAGCACAGGGGTGGACACACCTTCTCTCCTCAGGCTTATCTCTTTGGGGTCAGCATGTCACGGGCTGATTTCAGTTTTGTCTGCACCTGCATGCCCCTGGGCTGCATGTGCTTCAGAGAATACTTCAGGTATCATGTTAAATGCTGCTGCTTATTGAGCCATGATGGTGTATACACATCAGAACATCAGGCATGGTGGCATACATTGGTATTCCCAGTACTTGGAAAGCAAAGACAGGAGAATCAGAAAAGCAAAGGCAACATCGGCTACATAGAAAGTCTGAGGCTAGCCTAGGCTACACGAGACCCTATCCAAACAACAACAAAACTGAATTATTAAGGCAAGCCCCTCCTCCCCCTGCAGAATCTGGAAGTAGGGCTTAAGGCTGGGGCAGAGCTTACACCAAAGAAAAGTAAGTACACTTTACGCTGTCAGACTGGGAGTCGGGAGGGTAAGTTTCCCACAGGTGTGTAACTGATCGGTGCCTTTGTGAGGTCCTACCATGTATACAGGTCCAATGTACAAACAAACAAAAAAGGCAGAATATTCAAGAAACTTTCCTATCAGCCTGTTTCCAAGATGCGACAGCTACCAAGCATCTCTTTAGGAAGATGCTAGTATAGTTGAAACACACTGTTCATTTTGGTCCCATTGTGTACCAGCAATTTTCCTGGCTGTGTAGAAAGATGTCAAGCCATCACAAATGCCTGAACCGGATCTTCAGAGGACAATGGCAGGCAAGCAGAGAAGGAGATGGATATTTAAAATTTGAGCGTGATGCTACGAGTCCCATTCCAGTCTGAAACAGACATCAAGTTACCGGGAGGAGCCTGAGGCCGAAGGCACTTCACATGCATTTGTAGGGAATCAGACATTCTGATATGGATGGAAGGCACGTATAGATTTGCAGAACTGTGAAGCCAGCATGGAGAGGCTCGTGTGTGGTCAGCACTCTTCTAGTTGATCTCAATGGGGCTGGAGAGCTAAAAGAAGGCTGAGCAATCTATGGACACTCTCAGGGATCCAACTAAGAACCCCAAGTTTCAACACATATAAAATGTTCCACTGAGATTCCCAGTGCCAGGCTGCCTCTAGAAGGAGAGCATTGAGAACATGGCACTGCAGTGGGAGGGCCTAATGTTTCCAACCTGGTACCACCTCACTGCAAATGGAGACAGTGAAACTGACCCGAGGCTGTCACTGCAAGGCGATGGCAATGCTAACTGTATAATGCACCCTTGGTAATGGCTGGCTTTTGATGCAAGCTTTTGGACACAGTTAAGCCTGTTGTTTTTTCACGCAGACAAAGGAACTCAGCAGACAGGCTTGTGCTGTATCAGCAGGTTGGGGCAGGAAGAAGTACCCATCTATGGTTGAGTGTGAAATAAATGGACTTACTGGCCCTCAACTATAGATCGTGGCTTTGCATGTAGTTGGGATGAACCGTGTCATCACGTCAAATCCTGCATGAAAAGGAGAACATGTATTACCCTCACTGTCTAATAGAGGGTAGCAGTCAGATGTTGAATGCTCATGGTGTCAGCTTTGGCCTGGACTCTGTGGTTGGTTCACATATGTGCTTTGTAGCACCCACGACTACCCAACCCTAGGCAGTGTTGTCTTTTGAAAAAAGCACCATGAACATTCCTTAAATTCCCTAAAGGGTCCAAGTCATCCCGAAGGTAAAGTGCCTCTGCATATTCGTTTTCCTCATTTACTCCAGAAGTCAAGAGAGAAAGATGCAAAGAGGACTTCACTTATGGCTGAGCAAAGCCCTTACAGCCAGACTCAAATTCTGTTTGCTCTATTTAGACATAGATAATGATAGTAAAGATTATTTTCTGGGGTTGAAGAGACAGCTCCACAGTTCAGGCAGCTCACAACCACCTATAATCCAGTTCCTGGGGGTTTGACAACACACACACACACACAAACACAAACACACATGAACATGGACATGGACACACATATAGACATGGACACAGGCAAGTACATGGATACACACACATACACACATGTGGTCACATACATAGAGACACACATGGTCACATACACACACACACACACACACACACACA